AGGGAGTTTAACAAATATAAGAATTTACTAGGATCAAATCAGTAGAGTATTAAAAATTTATAGTGAATAATTGGAGAAAAGTGAAACATTTAAAAAAGACAATTCTATCATCCACGCACACATGCTTTTGGTGAATTGAAGTTGATGATTATTCATCCCTATCTGATATGACTGCGTTAACTTTTCTTCATTAAAAATACTTGAATAAACTTTTGTAAAACACACAAAACTTCGAATAAATTCTATTAGTTTTGGTAAAGAATCTAGTGTAGTGGTTATTTAGCTAAACTATTTTACGAAGATTCGTTTTAATCTGCATTTTGTATTCGTTACAGATTCATCTCAGTTAAATTACTACTGAAAAGCAGAACGGAGCACTGAACAGCTGTTTAATGTATAAAGCTCATCAACATTGTATATCTACGACTGCATTAGGGGATAAAAATTAGGTACTTTTATGGTGTAAGCATAAACATGGTTAGAATCATTAAGGTGGAGTCCAATGATATATGATTTCAACGTCAATGACGTGCAAGAACTGAGATAAAATAAAGACAATTAAGGTCCAAAACTCTTTTCATCAACACGAAACGTATTCAATAAAACTGACAGATACCAATTTGGGTTTTCCATACATATTCTTATTGAGCATTGTGTATTAGATCAAATACAGAAGTAGTGAATGAGTTTCTTTGTTTACTTTTTAAGATCGTTCAAGTACTTACTGAGAACAGGATAGGATCAGTGTCTATGAATCTGTAGTAGATTCAACTTTTAATGTTTAATATGTGTGGAATATCTAGCATCTATTTGTTCATTTAGTGAGTGAATGCTGTGTACAAAAGCATAATTTTCATTGAGAATTTCGTTTCAGACTCCAACGTTTGCTTAATTTACTTATTTCCATACAATAAGTTGGGATGCACTAGTGTCGTATTCATAGAAGATATGCTGAAACAGGTTTTGATGATTAAAATAAAAGCTTCAGTGGAAATCATGCCTTCATACACAGCAATGACACCCAAATGAGTGAAGAAAATGCTCGATATCACACTTTTATTGAATATAGAAAAAAGATGGTTGTCTTCATACATGGATACAGCAGCAACAAAGCGAAGTTAAAGGTGCAAAGTAGAGAGACAGAGAATCGAAAATAAGCACGAATATAAACAAAAAAATAATCATATGAATGAGTGGATGAATCAATGAGAAATGACTCATCACTAACCTAAGCATTCATTAATTCACGAGAGTAAGCGAATTTGCATGACATAAAACCAGAAAGAAATAGGAAGATAGAAAAAGAGGAAGATAAAATACCATAAGACCAAGTATTATCATTATAATATATATAAGAAATAACATCACACACGATACCAGACATGAGTGATGTTTATATTGCTTCCAAGTGAATAGCAGTAGTAACAACAACATGCATACATAAACTGCTATATGAGCAAACAACACAAATTTGAAATACTCATATTACAAATCGCCGATAGACAATAATTATAAATACAGTCACAAAATATTGAAAAGGCGTGGTTGTCAGTTTTATTAACTAAATCAACAACACAGCAATATATTATTATTATTATGATTAGGTGGAAACTGCCGTGTCAATACATCATTATGCTATCAGTATTCGGCATGTACACGTAAATCAGTGTGCGTATGAATACTCAAAAGGTGTAAATGAGAAAAAAAGTAGATTAAAGATAGGTAAGAAAAGAAATTAGATAGATAATAATTGTTTGTTAAATACTAATATGTGAATACCTCTACTACTACTGCTATTACCAATACAAGTCGAAACTGTACATTAACACAGATGAAAACAATCGGTGGAAAGGAAAGTGAAGCCAAACGAATCGTTATCCATCTTTCTGTCTGTATATTTACGCTTCGTTATGTTCTTTTCACATCTGCATATGTACACATACAAATATTGATATGCATCCAGAACAAGTCATTTTGACATCTGATTATCATGGTTACTAGGTTAATAAGATATAGAAAGGAGATAAAGATGTAAAGTATTCAACAAGTTTGTCAGTCAGATATTGACTATTACACATTATTTGAGGTGGATTATTACCGCTCGACCACTTCAAACATATTATTGTTACCATTACTACTACTACTACTACTGAATGTTCCGATGATTAATGAACGCAACACTGATCAAGAGATAAAACACAAGGTAAAACATTCAAAATTAATAAAATAGGAGCATGTTCTGTTCTGTAAAACATGAGAATCTAGGACTGTTACCCACCAAACAAAGACAAGGCACTAACTAAAATTAGAATCAACGTGGCTTATATAACTTAAAAGTTGTCTAGTCTGTGTAAAACAAGACTTTATTTATTTATATATCATGTGATATAAAAAGTGTGTTGACCTTGTCTAGAATCTCATTCAAATTGACACAACAATGAAAAATGGCCGGTACGTAGTTGAATTTAGAAACTAGTTATAATGGGAGAAATTTTAGAGGTGTGCATAGAAGTGAAATAAACACACTTGTAAATCAATAAAGGATGGGAAGGTGATTGTCGAGATTGACCGATGTTAAATTGGTTGAGAAAAATGGAGAGGGGGACGGTTTGTGAAACGGCCTCGTGGTATGTAAAAAGACTGCGTAGAACTGGCATTTGCCAGACCATGACAACTATACTGGATAGTGTCCTATAGATGGTGCAACTCAAGGGCTGGCGACATTATCACACAAGATTCAGAATATAAACTAGTGACGATCCTACAACAGTTTTCTTTTGCGTTATTTATAAAAATGAGATGAGTTTTATCAACTGAAAGGACTTTTTAATAGCTGATTTTTTTTTCTGAACTGTATCTTCTAATTGGCACCATTCATTCATGTTCATTTGTGCTTTTCTGTTTATACTACCCTTGGCTCTTTTATTTCTTCACAATACTATTGTTCTGTTTGTGGGATGAGTATACTTTTGGTGCCTAGATTATGTATTAAAAGATAGGTAATTATTAGAGACCACGAATCGCTAAATAGTTGTCCAATGTACATCTGCAATATTACAAACTGCTAAAAATTGTGAATGTAAGCCATAGGATATCAATAGGGTGAGTGGAATAATATGTTAGTAACAAGCCTTCAATGGGTTTGATCCTTAGCGGCGTAGTTGGAGTCCACTCTATTGATGAGTCCCGACTATATAGGGTGGAAACAACAATTAAATGTCCTTCTCCGCAATTCTTAAATGGAAAGCAAACAAGAACAAATGAAGATTAGTAAACTGGCAATGGTAACTAGTCACAAACGTAAACATCATAACGCGTAGATTTTGTGCTTGTGAAACAAATCGTTTTTAAAAGCTCACTCAAATTAAAGCGAGATGATAGTAATTATATCAACTAGAAAAACAATGAAAATGTTTCATAACTATGAATACATCCAGTTAAAGAGTATAACACTCAGCAAAAATTATCATCGAAGTAACTGAAATATAAATTTCCTTTTCTAGCAAGTCATTTTGTGCAAAATACATGAAGGCATAAATGTTAGAAAACTATACTGATTCTTTAAACAAAATATGTACACATCAGAATTCTTAAAATTTTGTTTAGTTAACATTTCTGATAGACAGTAGTGTTCTTTGGACCATGGATATGAGACAAACTTGTATAACAGTTTTTCATCTTCCGTTTCGTACTGTCAGACATTGGATCAGTAGTTAAATCTAACAAAATGTGCTCTGTGTACTAAACAACACTGAAAGTCTGTTGAATTCAATATCATGTGTATGATTGAGGGTAGATATGTGCAATGTTAATAATGAATCTTAAAGAAGAATAAGAAAACCATACAACAGCTCTTCTATTTATTCTGAAAGTGGTTTTAAGGAGATAAGTTTAATTCGTAGGTTATATTTGTTATAACTTGATCTTCATCGAGGGATCGTCTCACAAGTGATTTCCAGGTGCTCCCGAATTTTTGGTGGAAAGCTGTAACCAGTAGTTGAGTTTAGATACATCCGGAGTAAAAACAAATGTCACCAAAAGACTCCGATTCAACGGTTCAACTCATTAGGAATTCACTGCAAGAGCTGAAGACTTGGGTCTGATCCTTGACGAGGTTGTAGATGCCCAAAGCTAGTCAGTCATATACTAGGACGGAACAGCTGTCCACCAGTGTTCCCCAGTTCTCAATGGTAACCCAATCGAGATCAAACAATGATGACTATTCCCGTTATTCGTTAATCATTTAATTATTTGATGTCGAATCTATGGCGAGATTGCTTTTACAACTAAATTGGATTTAAACAAACAGTTGTGCATTTAAGACAAAACAAACAAACGAGTAACATCTATATTCAAAGAATAAATAACACAATTAATACATAATCTCTTCACTAAACTAGTTCCAAACATTTCAGATTAAAACAGAAAAGTAAACGATGGTTTATGGATATATTCTAAAAGAACACATCTTCAATAGATTGACAATGTGTGTACATTTCAGATTAGTGTTGTTGTTTTTCCCCCGTCAAATTGTTTATTTGAAGATATAACAGACGACATTTCAATCGTGCATATCTTCACAAAGGTCACCGGTTAAACATAGAAACAGATGCACAAATGCAAACAAAAAAAAGTACCAGTGAAAAGAAGAAAAGGCGGGAGCACTGGTTACAACAGCAGTGAGAAAGGACACATTGAGTGAAAATTAGTAAACATCTTTAATTATATGCACAATTCTCATTGTTTTTCAATCCACGTAAGTAAGTGGTAGGTTAGAACAAAATGCGCTTGTGTAAACACAGATGACCCATTTAAACTGGAGTCTAGCAATAATAATAATAATAATAATAATAATAATAATAATAATAATAATAATAATTATTATTATTATTATTATTATTATTATTATTATTATTATTATTATTATAAACACCATTACTCAGCAACGGTCGCCAACAATAACGGCGATACAATAAGCAAAATGAATTAATGCAACTAACCTGCATTGTTTGTCGAATTGATGGTTCTAAAATAGTCGGATCAATATATGACCACCCCTTCACTTTCCGCTGTATATACACATAAGTGTTGAATAAAAAACCAAGTAGATTGATAAAGAGAATAAAAGTTCAATCAAATATTTGAAACAGAAACGGAGAAACGCACTAATCAATCAAGTAACAATAAGGTTACATAATAAAAATCAGATGAATGAAGGTCATATTGTTCAGGTTACTATTACTCAATAGAAAACAACAAAAAAGACCCAAGCTCGAAAAGTAATAAATACAACTACAATTCGATTCAAGTAAGTCAGTTAGTCGTAACGCAGCACATAACATATGTGTACATCGGCTTAAGTCCCTATGTCCCATTAGCACAAAGAAGTCAACTGAGAATGTCTACGGGGAGACATTATTTATAATATATGGTGTTGTTTATTGCCTAGTCTGTGATTGGCATATTATTGCTGATAAAGTGAATTATTATTTCACTGAAAACATCTTAGCTAGACCAACAATGAAAACCTGGAAGAACTGGACGGCTGTTTTATCCTAGCATAGGACACCTCAGCAGTGTGCATCCACGATTCCGCACGCAGGAGTCAAACCCAGAACCTTCGATCTTGTACATGAACGCTTGAACTTCAGATCACTGAGCCGGTATCAAACGATGTACAAATGTAACTTCGATCAATCTACGATATTGTGCGACTATCTTTCATTGTGCCCGCTGAGCACCTTCTACACACTTGACACAGTTTTGCCCCGCTGGTCACGGTTTCTCACTAGAGCTCTGGAATTTTCCTCTTGAGTGAAAGGTTGTAGAGATGTTTAGTTTGTTATTAGAAATAATAATTATAAACAAACATTAAGCTTAACCTCATACACTACAAATTTAGATAGATTAAGCTAAGAGTTGATGTTTTATGTAAACGGTATTTTAAGCTAAATGTAACCATTTTCTTAAGATACTACGTAGATTATCTTCTATATTTAAGTAATGCAATTCAGTTGTGAAATAGCCGAGTTATCGTAGATGAATATCACTAGTAAACATGATTTGTGGTTTTAAATCTCAGTCAGTCAGTCAGCACAACAAGATGAAAACCGGATTCATAGCAGTGGTTAGGTCAAAGGTGGTAATATATAAGAGAAAGATTGCATATAGAGATATAATACAAGAAGAAAGAATTGGTTCGTAGAAAGAAAGATATGAAGCGATTTTAATCTCTTAGTTTAAGGGAAGACAGGGAGTGTATACACCGACGCCATTGTGATCGATTCTGAGCCATGTCACCAAGAGTCTCCAACCATTGGTTACGAAAGTCACGCGGACCCCAACCAAGTAGTCTGCATCTACCAACATGGCTCAGACTAGAAGTTAGTGACTTCAAGCACTGATGCCACGTTTTGGTTTGGCCGCCCCTAACTTTCTTCCAACCATCCCCAATACCGGTTAGCATTGCACGTCGTGGTAATCGGTGTTCAGGCATACGTAATACGTGGCCCAACCATCTCAGTCGATGAAGATTCATAACCTCATCAACTGATTTACCATCATTCCCTAATACCCTGCGTCTAACCTCACTATTACTTACCCGGTGATCCCAGCAGATGCCAGCAATATTTCTAAGGCATCTGTGGTCAAATACTAGTAGCTTACGAGTGTCTTCTACTCTTAAGGCCATGTTTCGCTGCCGTAAATTAAAACAGAACGGACTGCCGCGCAGTATACTCGTCCTTTTATTGATAGACGGATATCTCGCCTCCGCCAAAGGTGACGTAAGTTGGCAAAAGCCAAACGAGCTTTTCGAATCCGTGCTGAGATTTCGTCAGACACCAACCCATTAGGGCTGATCAGACTTCCAAGATAAGTGAAGTTGTCAACGCGTTCGACTACTTCACTCCCTATCCTTAGTTCAGGTGTTGACGCAGACCAGTCCTGAAGCAACAACTTGCATTTAGAGGGAGAGAAGCGCATCCCAAACATTCTGGCATTGTTGCTTAGTGCTACCAGAAGACTCTGCATTTTGTCAGCGTCTTCACCAAACAGGACTATGTCATCTGCGTATTCTAAGTCGATAAGTGGACCTCCTGGAAGGAGATCAATACCCGAGAATTCAGTCGACGAGAAAGTTATTTCCATCAATAGGTCTATGATGAAGTTAAACAAAAATGGAGAAAGTGGGGAGCCTTGACGGACACCACTTGAGGTTGCGAAAGTAGATGACAGTTCGCCATAAGCTCTGACTCGACTAGTAGTGTTCGAGTAAAGAGCCTTCACAAGGTTTATGTACTTCTGAGGTACGCCTTTCAATGACAGACACTGCCACAGAATCTCGCGGTCCAACGAGTCAAATGCTGCTTTTAAGTCAAGAAAGACCACCATTGTCGGACGCCGATAGGTATGCCTGTGTTCTAGAACCTGACGAATGGTGAATATGTGGTCGATGCAGCCACGACCAGGTCTAAAGCCAGCTTGGTTCTCTCGTGTTTGCAGTTCACGAGTCTTAGTTAGGCGTCTGATAATTATCGAGGCTAGTATTTTAGATATTATATTAGTTAAACTAATCCCTCTGTGGTTGTCACAGGATGATTTTGACCCTTTCTTATATATTGGGACGATAAGTGATTGTGACCAGTCAGATGGGATAACGTCTAACTCCCAGATCTTAGCTAAAATATTAGTCAACCTAATCGCTAAAATTGGACCACCATCCTTAAAGACCTCTGGAGCCAATCCATCTGGACCAGCTGCCCTTCCTCGTTTCAGATTAACTATAGCCTTTTGAACTTCAGCGAGAGTTGGAAAAAAAAAAAAAAAAAAAAAAAAAAAAAAAGGGAATGGAGGGTAGTTGTAGAGTAGCTGAAGGCCAGCTGAACTGTTCTCTGAAATGTTCCGCCCATCGTTCTAAACGTCTGGACTGGGAGCAGATGAGAGTATCGTCTTTTTCCGAAATAATCTCACTTACACTTGACTTATTAATTCCAGTTTCTTTTATTAGTCTGTAAAGCTGTCTTGTGTTCCCTATAGTCGCCGCCTTTTCCATCTCTTTTGCTTTCGTTGCCCACCACTGCTCACGGTCGTTTCTTAGACTTTTTCTTAACCTAGATCTGATTTGTTGTCGCTCTTCATCATGTTCGGAACCTGATGGGACGAGTTTGCGAGAATCCATCAGTGTGATAGACTTTGAAGAAATCCACTGGTTCTTTGTAACTCTGTGGTTTAAGTCGCTAATAGATGTCACTGCTGCTTCCACAGCTGCTTGTATGTCTTTCCAAGCAACATCTGGGTCAGCCTCGTCTTCAGAACTACCTAAGTGTGACCTCAGTTGTTCCTGGAACCTACTTTTGGTTTTCTCGTTACTCAACTCAGTTCTAATGGGTCTTTTTAATGTGGCTTTTTTGCGTCCAGTGAGGCGCAAGCAGATGCGTGCCCGTATTAGGGCATGGTCGGAGTCCAAGCAGGTACTCCAGAATGAGCGACAATCTTCTACCGACCCTCTCCAACGATGACTGATGGCAATATGGTCTATTTGAGTCCATCGTTGGTTTGGTGTAGGGGGTCGCCATGTTAGACGATGTCTCTCCTTATGCTTAAAATTTGTGTTTGCTAAAAATAAACGATTGTCTGAGCACAGTTGCAGCAGACGGTCACCATTATCTGTTCGCTGTGCCGGAATACTAAAATATCCACCTAAATGCCTTTCTGTTTGGTTTAAACTACCTATCTGAGCATTAAAGTCACCCCCTACGAGTACTATGTCTGAGCGTTTAGCTTTCTGAAGAAGTTCGGACAGCTTTCTGTAAAATTCATCTTTCACTTCATCTGAGCTGCAGTCAGTGGGAGCGTAGGCAGAAACGACAAAAAGGCAACGACGTGTGTCCCTATCCTTCCGAGTTCTTACGGAGCCGTTTAGCCGAACAGCACATAGACGACTGTTGACGGGGATCCACTCTAGCAGTGCTTGTTCCGCCCTCATGCTTAGTGCTATGCCTACACCTGCCAGTCCACGAGAACTGGCCATCGGGTCACCAGATGCACGAAGGGTGTATCTCGTTGGCTCTCCGTTTTGCCGAGGTGAGGTCAAGTGAATGACCACACTGGAATCCTGTATGCGTGTTTTAAATTACTCATACACATACTTTCTCGTTGAGGATATGAAACCGTCTGACACAATATATTACGTGAAACAAACCATAACCTTATATCACACACATTAGGTAACTATTTTCCTACATTCCTTCTTACATGTTTTAGATGCTCCTATGTGTGTCGCCTTGCAACATGAGGCTGAGCTTGACTTACGCTCTGCAAACCATAACCTTGTAATTCTCACATGACGAAAACATTGATATATAAATATTTCGTGACTATAACACCACATAACACTATGGATATGTCATTTTATTAAGGTATTTATTGCTTTTCATACACCATTTATCAGACATAACTATATTACTTACAAGATTGATGTATATTACTTTGTATAAACCGTCAATAAACCTATACATTAAAAGTGCTGTTGTCCATGAAGATGCATTTCTACACGCATCATTTTATGCCTCAGAAAATTCATGATGATGATGATTATCGCCGTAACAAACATTCGGCGGAAAGAACAATTTCTGTACGCAAAATTGATACACGTAAACATACAATTAATGTTAGACCATGGTATGATTTTAAATCAATCGGACGCAAAACTTTTAGCTAGTCCTACTAGTTACCATTTTCCATTGTTAGATAGTCGAGTTTGTTTAATTTTCTTTCGAAAATGTGGCGACTAGATAGTAATATACTTTGTCAACGAATGATAAAGATAACAATCATGAAAAATGAATAAGTCATTATGTCTGCCAAGTTGTTCAATGAATAACGCCATATAATTAAAAAAAATAGCCCATTAAATAGCGAAAACATTTTGGATTTCTACAAAATACAAAATATTTGATTGAACAACTATTAAAGACATAAATTACTTAAGATTGTGTCAGACAATTTATTTGTTATACATATCAGTTCTAATATCATTTCATCTCGCAGTGTTTATAGTGGATATACACATACTGAGTTGTCAAGATATATATATGACTTACTTCAGGACCTTTACGTCTAGAACGTTTAGTACATTCAGGAGGAGCACAGCATACAGGTGTCCAATCAGGCTAAACAGTTTGAAAGAAAAAAAAACAGGTGAGACTACTGAAATGATAGAGAATACGATGCTTTGTTGGTCGCTGTGCAATAAAATGTGTACAGATAATCCATTAGGGGGCGTAGGAAGAAAATAAACACAACTTGCATATTATACAATAATACACAAAGTTTGCAATGAAACAACAATGAGAATTTATTAGCCTCATCTATATTTTAGATGTAAACGATCTAGAACGCACAGTTAATCGATCATTCAGTCGTGAACAATGTTGTTTGTCTGCCCAGACTTCATCAGTCAAGTTGAGAAGTGGTCGCCACAGTCTAAGTAACTTGACGTTGCGTGTATCGTGTTGGAATGTTGGGTGGTTAAAGGTAGTTTGCAGGAAATTTTAGACCTGTTTGATGCTATGTGGGACTTAATGTAGTATTGCGGAAACTAATGTTTTTGGCTGGTCTTACCACTTATCACCCAGTTTTACAGTCTGATTAGTTACCACTAAGCTATTTAGATTGCGACTGACCTTCTGTAGGACATCTCAGCATGCTGCGCGTGATGTCAGGTTAGATAGACTAGTAGCTACAATGCAACTTGATCGACAAAACTCGACTAGGACTAAAAGGAGTAGAAAAACGGTAAACAACCAGTTATAAATATCTCAGTCCAGTTTGTGAAGCTGAGTGATAAGCCACGAGGTAATAGCCCCACACAATACTATAGGCACACGTGTCTGACGAGTTTCAAATGGGACGAAACTTAGGTCTAAAATTTCCTTTATACCACCTCCGACTATCTAATAGTTAAAAAGTATGTTGCTCGGCGTTTGAATGCACGCATTCTGCACATTTTTCGCCAATGACCGGAAGGAAGAAAAGCAAATTAAGGCAATAAACCAATGAAAAAAAAAGAGTTAACACCCATGAAGAAAACCAGTCAGGTATATAAAAACCCACTACAAAAAATGTTCATTTCTACTGATGAAGAAAGACCTCTGTTTCTTTCCCGCTTTTTTTAAGAAGACTATTCATCAATAATATTGTAGTTTGTTAATAATGAGAGCAAGTCGTGTGTATATATGTTTCGAAAGTTGTATTATAACAACTGGAGTCAACACACATATGTACCAGATGATAATGATTGACTGACTGACTGACTACGTACATAATCTTCCCAATTACTGCTTATACTCTTATTACCTCTACCACTACGGGATTTGAATCGACAACTGCATCTCTGTGCTAATGTGGTGTGGCAACTCGAACTGATGTACGTATGTACGAAGTTCTACGTTGTTACTGACTGACTGACTGACTGAAAGTGATAATAATGATAGCCACTAAAACATATTAATACACTTCCTCCTATTTGTCAACACAATCAATAAAAAAAGCCTCACAAATAAGAGAACAACTAATGAGAAATCTGAAATCAATTTATCGAGAAAGTACTTCAAATCAAGTGATTCATTCTAAAGAATTTAGTGATCACGTGAAACTGTTTGTTGTTAACATTATCATATGTAAAGCGAATGCGCTTTTTCGTTGTTAATGATTAAAGTCTGATTGTATTTTACCAAGCAAGATGTGTATCTACATATGGGCTCTCTGAATGAATGTTTTAATATTGCCTGTTGATTGAATTCTGGATATGGGTAGTTGGCAGTAAAAACAGTAGGAGCACGAAACTACAAAACTTTTACAAATACCATAACTATCGAACAAGCTGATGGCTATCATATATTAATAGTTAGTTTGGTGAATAATGATCAAGTATTCAAAGAAATAAGTACAGAATCCGAGTATCGCAGTGAGTTTCAAGGCTGAGTAGTTACGTTCAACTGGAGAACCACAAAGCGGATAAAAACAGCATCCTGAATCGGATTGTTGGCTATTTATCCAATATATTATTAATTCTAGTGGATGTTTATTTCATTACCCAAAAACTAGTTTATTTTATCGTGTTTAAATTTCAATTATTCAGCTAGATTGAATGACTGACGAAATAAGAAGTTTATTCACCTCTACGCAAAACAATTATATATGGAGGTTTTTTCTGTCAACTTATTCGATGGCCAACAAGCATCCTGGAGAATGAAGATATCTAGAATTGATTGATCATAAATAATAATCAATGTCATGTTAGTCTAGTACTTTGATATTTGGGTATGAACAACACTCCAAGTATGAGAGTTAAGTATACTATTCGATTCGACTAGACTGCGATGACAATAAAGGTAGAGTTTGTCTTCAAAAGAATTTGTGAGGTTTTGATCAGACAAAACTTAAATACTAACAACAAAGACATACCCCAGGGTAATATTTAAATGGTTTGTCGCCAAAGTTCAATTCCACGGTAGAATTCAACAAGGACACAGTTGGATACAATGCTGTCAAATTTTTAGAATGTAACAATTCAGAGGGAATTCGATAAGCGTCACCAAATTCCAAACCATTTTTTGACCATTTAATAGTGTGTTCAATCGTATCCAAAAAGCAGCCGATCACATCATCTTTAGAGAATGCCTAAACATTAAAAAAGGAAAGACAGAGGAAGAGAAAGATAATAGAATATAGTTAGTTGACCAGTGATTAAGTTCACTGAGTGAAATCAAAATACGAGACCTGTAGCCCGGTATTAGCTAAAACCAATAGACGATGACTTCATTAAATGATGCCACGTTTTGTTTGATCACTTCCTAACGAATTAGCCAACTCTTGTGACAGTGTCACCATTGTAGAATGGTTGTTTTTTTGCTACAGCACATTGGTCAATGGTTTGCAGTTTTCCTAATCAATTTACCAACTTTATGCAATACCTGGGTGCTTAAATTTAACATTTTTGGCTAATATATCTCTTGATTAGAGGAAGGACATGTCGATAGTGCTACAGATTGGTAGAAACCAAACGAACATTTCTAACACTATCTGGGTGCCCAGGTTGAAGTTTGAGGAACGTAATTACAAAATTTAAACCTCAGAAGATAGATATGACTGCCCGGCTATTAAAGAGGCTATCGTGAAACATATTTCGCACTCAGGACCAATCATAAATAACATTTGAAAACAGGAAATCCCTGACTACTTGTTTCATCGTAATGAGGGACTCCTCAGCAGTTTCCACAACTTAATTAGGAGTCGAACCAATGACCTGTAGGTTTCACAGAGAGCGCTTATCCTCCAAACCACTGAGCCGGTATTCGATAGTTTATGTCTTCAAATTAAATGAATCCACGGAATCGCGCAACTATATTCCATTGTCATTAATCAATAACTGACTCGTCCGATATTGTTGAACTGAATTACTGGTTACTGCTTCGCACCATCACTCCAGGGATTACCACTCGAAAGTAGTCACCAGTGACCCAACACATTAAAACTTAACGATTCTACAAACCTTTTACATGAATAATTCTACTATGTAAATGCCGTAAAAATTTCCGATAGTTCAATACACAGAATGTTATTCTAACTCATACTCGCAGGATTCAAAATACAAAACTATAAAAATCTATGAAATCTAAGACAAACAATTCAAAGTAAACAATTAATTTTTTAAAAAAACATTCACTAACACAGACCTTATCAGGCCATAGTGTAAATAAATTCAATAGCGAATTAATTAGAAATCATTAGTATTATGGATTATGCATCATGATTATTCTTATTATAAATTCAAGTGCCTGAGTGTGTGTGTGTGCGTATACGTGAGCATGTTTACTAATAATAGTCCTTTAGAAACAAACAAGCAAAGGTAAATACATACATTTTTTGTCACTATTCCATACATAAATAAATAATATTCAAAAATCTGTACAGACGTTATTCAAATATACATTTCTACATAATTGTAAACCTTTGTTTTACAAAATAAACATACAAAGAAAATTGCTAAAACAAAACGACAGAGTTGAGTTTGAAAAGTAACAGTCATAATACGGACAATGATGAAAGGGATTCAGAGAAAAATGAGTCAATAAAATCGACAGTATAATAATAATGATAATAATAATAATAATAATAAAAATAATAATAATAATAATAATAATAATAATAATAATAATAATAATAATAATATGTTCATTGACTCCAATGTGTTGCCATAAAATACCTAACACTTGCAAACATTGATAATTTTGAAGTTGACATTCAATTAAACGAGAAACAAAGGAGATTTATGAGTAATATAAACAGTGAATAGAAAAAACTGGACAATCGTTCTCGCAGTCACTTTAAATACAAGGAAACAGAGGAGGGATAAATTTTTTCATCAAGTTGTTTTGGAGTGTAGTAGACTCCAATGTACAGACGAAAATTGGTTACTCAAGAAACACGTAAGTACAGAGAATCATAAGCTGAAATTCAGAACATTGCTAGCTTGATATACATCATCCCTGAAGGTTTTTATTCAGGAAATTGTGAAGTTATACGATAACATCAAGGAGATTGGAATTCCGTTTGATGTTAGTGAAGCATGATTACAACTATAGATTAATAAGAACTGTAGTGGTTACAGGGAGATATATGAATGATAACTATTAAGTACATCATTTTCTAATAATCAGTATGAAGTGCTTAGCAAATTATAAAGTATTATTGCGAAAATTTGTGAGATATTTGAAAACTACGCGGATAGTTGCTCATTGATGACGCGCAGATGAATGAAGTTTATTTTTAATATGGGAATTATGTAGACAGAAAAATAAAACAGTCAAAGATTCATTCTTGATACTGAACTGGGGAACAATAATTAAATAAAATTTGATACATTATCTGAACCCTGTTTACATCCAAGTTGTATTATTTGGAGTTCTGATTACTTTGGGCAAATATGTTATCAAGAAAAGACAAACAATTATTTTTCATAGTTTGAATAACAAACTGATCTTCGGTTGATAAGTGTTGAAAACCAAGACGCATTGGACAAATGTTTTGTTCCAGTGTAGGAAAGAGTTGTGCAATATTGTAAATTAATTGAACATAGACTTGCACACCATTATCTATCGATTCATTGTTTAGAAGTTAGGTTTAAATGCGCGAAATCGAAGGACCTAGATTTGATTCCCGGTAGCGAGGTTGTGGTTGTCGACTTCTGATGAGTTCCATTCCACGACGAAACTGTTGTCTACTGATTTTTAATGATAATCTAGCCAAAATCAATTCGTGATTCAAACTATAGAAGTCTGTCAGTTTAAAAAATTCTCATATATACTAAAAATAATTTATGTCATAGAAAAACAAAATGTAACATACTTCACCATAATTTTCAATTTCATCACAATGTATACGTTTTCCTTGTTGTCCATTCAAACCGAAACCTTCGTTATCTGCACCATAACCGAAACCATATTGATCTGTGCCAACAATTAAATTCCCATCATCTGTTGACCAACCGACTCGCCATAGTCCAGTAGATTCAATAGGAGTTACTTCAAAGTAGAAGCGTCCAAGACCACGAATACCCTAGGGGGGATGAAAAAAATGGATACATAATAATTATGAAATAATAACACATAAATCAGAGGAATATGGAACCAATGATAAACTTTTATTTAAATTAATTGAGCATGACAATGATCATTACGATTAATTTTACGTTAGTATTACAAATATATCAACTGACCTTTATTATTCTAGAAGTAATAATCCAAGACTGTGGATGAAACAAATTAACAACACATACACAAATACATATGGTAATTAAATGAGGTTCTATCACAATGTACGCCTCAAATGAGATACAATTTAATGAAGAGAAAGTTATTAAGTAACACGTAGAATGAATGTGCAGATACACAACTCAATTTAACATGACAATTAGTTGACCTAATTCAACATGATTGATTTATGAAAGCTTTCCACTGCCTTATTTTGTCATATGAGAAAAGCAGATAGTTTGTTAAAAAAGAATGACAACTGTTGTCATTTCATTCACAATGAGTTACAAACAACGTAGAACTTAGCACATATGCGCATACAATTCAAACTGACACACAACTACAATACACAGAGAGGTAGAATTATCCAGGTAGATGCCAGAGATCAGAAGAAGTAGCAACGACAAATATGAATAATATGATTCGAGAAGTATGAATTCGGGAAATAAATGGTGCAAGCAGACCGTTTTAAATTTAAAGATCTAAAGGAAGATAAAAAGTGAATAGATCTGTTCTATTGTGACTTAAACTGGGTTATATCACTAAGTCTGCAACTCTTGGTCATGATTAACACTTAAATCCTAGACAGGTAACCTTTACTTACCTGTCGAATTCAGTCTAACGGTTAATGTCTTCATAAACTGATGTCATTATTTGACCACTTTCAAGTTTCTTCCAACTTACTCCCCTCTACTACACCCACGGGCATTGTTCATGCAGCTGGATGATTTTAAAAGTAAACAAGTAATACTACAATAGTCTTTTGGTTTAATGTATGGTCACTGTCTCAGATTATTGATGACTTTTATGAATATATTTTTTCGGTTTCCTAATTGAAATTCACTTTCTATTCAGCTAACACAGTATATACTACTATATTGGTACACGAAAATAACGTTCAATGTAGATCCACTGATAAACTAATGTAAAAACTATCGTAACAAACTTGTTCTTCCTTACACATTTTTCAATATAATAATAGTGATATTATGTAAACGGAATATTCGTGATCATAAAGTAATGTGTAAACTGGCCACTAAGTGCAACATGGGGAAGCGAAAACTAAAATAAACAACACACACATACATGCACAGGTATCTCTCTACATATACGTTACACTAATGTAAATTACCAAATGATGATTAACAATGTGTCTATCTTTCTCCTCAAAATGTTTTACTTATCATAGGGAATAACCTGTTGTTACTATAAAACAGCTACTACGTATCATGTGTTGCATTCTATCAGACAATGAATCAATTATTTAAACTTTTTACGATATACATATTGTTAGGCAAAAGAGGGACAAACAAAAACGAACCAGAAATCTTCGATTTGGATATGGTTTTCACCTATCACCATCTCTTTTTGTCTGAATTTAACACATATAAACGACTAAATATCCAATAAAATATTCAAAATAATCGTTACAAATTTGGAAGTATATACTAGTACAATTACCAATATCAGCAAGCGTCAGCTTTTTATTGTTTTAAAAATGCACAATAACAACATTAGTAGATAGGCGGGAAAGCAAAAAACGAGACGAAAAACAATCATTAAATATGTATATTAAAAGTAACAAGAATGTAGACTATTAAACGTGTATATTTGTGCTTGCGTACGAACGTTATTTCGTCTATTTTCTACGAACCTATAAATGATTATATCACTCAAAAATAGCTGAGTCGAAAAGTTTAAAAGTAACGAAAGTGAAATTCCACCATTTCTATTATTTGGTATAAAAATGTATTGTAATGAAACAGAATGTGAACGATAATAAACGCAATACAGTTAACCTTAATACATACAGATATGAGTTCCCTGATGCATCACGGAACTAATTATTCTATGTATTTTTCTCTAAATTAAACAAAATGAGTATATATATTTGCGATTGTACAGCTTTGAAAATGAATTCGCCGAAAAGAAAACTATTCGCTGAACTAATCTTTCTTTCTTATTTAATGTCATAATGGGTGTATTCCGTTTATTAAAAAATTTCAAGGACCCTTCGACAGTAAAGGAACTTAATGAGTTTCTGCGTTTTTCTGTCAAACTTGCGGAAGTGAATGCGAAGATTACCTTTCTTAACGATTGCGTTAAAATGCACAAATATCCTAAATACTACTGGAAAATTCTTCGAAGAAACCATATTTATCCAAACTCGAAATCTCTTAAACGCCATGCACAAAATGTTATTGACTCTATTCGTCCTCGCATTCCGTTATTGGAACTTAACATTTCACAAAGATCTCCTGTATTATATGAATTATCACCTAACGAACACAACCTTTTCACCGATTATGTTACCACAGTTATCAACAAACGCACAAAAAACTTAATATCAGACCTCACTAAAAGTTTAAAAACTACAGAAACACAGCACAACTTTCCTAACAACCCTGAGAGATATGTGTTTAATCATTCTTCAATATCGTTGACAAATGTACAATTAGAAGCCTTATCTTTGGGGATAAAATTCTGCGACATAAATGAAAAAGTTAACAAAATCAACACACATGTTCAATTCGAAAACTTAATCAAACAAACAAATGGTCTTAATCCAATCTCTGATCAAGAATTCCAACGTTTCAAATCTACTCTTCTTGACAGCTGCAACCAATATATTAGCACAAAAGTAACAGGCAAAAGTCTACTAACAAAAGAACATAGAAATCAGATAAAACTACTTAGAAATAATAAAGACTTGATCATAACACGTCCAGATAAAGGTGCTGGTTTAGTGCTGCTAGATCGCAAGGATTATGTTGAAAAAATGACAACGTTGTTATCAGATGACACCAAATTCTCAAAACCCAACAATGAGAAAAACAAGACTGAAATTATAGAAAAGCAACTAATTGATGTCCTTAAGAAAATGAAAAAAGAGCAGTTAATCAACGAAGAGGTCTTTGAGCACATAAAACCAACAGCATCGATAATACCGCGATTATACGGTTTGCCAAAAATACACAAACCTGGCCTACCTCTTAGACCGATTCTCGATATGTCTGGATCCCCTTACCACCCTATAGCAAAGTGGTTGGCGAATCTCTTAGAACCCGTTAGAAAACTCATTTGTAAACATTCTGTACGTGATACTTTTGAATTTATCGAGCACATAAAAGAAGTGAATGTAAGTGGCAAAATTATGCTATCTCTGGATGTGGAATCATTATTCACTAATGTTCCACTCACAGAAACCATTAATTTTATCTGTAAGTACATAAACAATACTGAGATAAACATTGGGATACCTGAGGTTTATTTGAAGGAATTATTACTACGTTGTACTTGCAATGTACAGTTCACATTCAACGACGTAATTCATAGATAGAAGGATGGCATAACAATGGGATCTCCACAACCAACTTAAAAGAATTATAGAAAACCTCCACTTATATAAAAGGTATGTGGATGATATCTTTATCATTTGTGATAACAAATGTAACTTAAGTGATCTAGATACATTTAATAATTGTCACCCATCAATAAAATTCACACTTGAAGCTGAAAGCAAACAAAATATTCACTTCCTCGATGTAGATATAACAAGGAAACAAGATGGTACTTTAAAAAGATCTATCTACAGGAAACCCATGTGGAATGGCCAACTATCAAATTTCCGCAGTTGGGTTCCCATCAGCCGAAAAAGAAACTTAATAATAACTCTCGCCACAAGAATACGAAGAATCTGTAGCCCCGAGGTCGTAGAGGAAGAATTGAGTTTTTTAAAAGAGATACTTATCAAAAACGGATATCCTTCTATATTCATTGATAAGAACATGAAACCGAAAATGCCAAAACCACAAACGATTGCAGTAGAAAAGAAAATTTTATACATGAACATCGACTTCAAAGGTGATAGAGCCGCATATATCTTAAAGAGGAGAATTTCTGATTCTTTAAAAAGAACATTCTTCGCAGCAACATTGCGAATATTATTCTCCAGCCGATCACTGTTCACCAATAATCTGAAAGATAAATTATCGCATCTGACCAACTCAATGTGCATTTACCAATTTACCTGCTCTTGTGGAGCTAGGTATATAGGTCGTTCGATGCGTACTTTATCCAAAAGAATTCAAGAACATTGTCCGGCTTGGCTTGGTGATCGTACAATGTAAATTCTGACGGCTGTTTAGCCGATCACAACTATTGATTTAAGCTTCAAAAATGCATTACATCTATCTTCTGTTGGACCGTCACAACGTAGAACCTGGCATCTGTATATATCAATTTAGATTGCCACACACCATCAGTACAACGAGATGAAATGGTGCAGGGTAGATTTCAGAGTAGTAGAGATAGTAACAATATAAGTGATAATATAAAAGGTTACACATTCAAAATATACTTTTACAAAATCTACGTCAATTATTCTATTAAAGCCAAAGCAATATACGCAAGCAAACGAAAAGTACTTACATGATTTGATCGACAACCTTGCCAACCTTGATTAAAATGTGACTGAACTTGACTACCGTCGGGTGCAACATCTAAAGCATTCGTTGCATCGTACTGATTCATGCGCCAACCAGGATTACGATTAGATACTTGACTATCATCAGCAGATTGAGCTACAGGAATAAATGAACCGTCTGGTGGGAATTCTAACGGTTGTTCTTCACCAAAATTAAATAGGATACGTGAGTCTTTTAGACTAGCCGCTAAAATAGTAAAAGAAACACGATCACATGAGAGATGTGAAATACTTTAAAGATTGAAATATAAATATAAATGTTATGTCCCGACAAGAATAATGAATGGTAACTTCTGAGATCCATTGATAGACCAATACTAAACGTATATTTCTATTGTATAATTATTAAGTAATTAACCTATGCATATTCATACTCCTCTTATTATAAGCTTTATTTTGACCCATAAACTATTACTATACGTTTTACCATTCTTGAGTTATACCCAGCATATTAATTACTATCTCCCTCATTCACAGCCACATCTGGCTAATTCTTGTACAAATGTTATTTCATATTTTATTGGTACGTTATGGTCTGTTTGATTGGTATATAAACTCAGTATGTTTGAAATATAATGATTCATACTGCAGAGGCTGAGACTGGTGTTCTGGGTTTAACTGGCTGGGCTAGGCAGAAAGCAGGACTAATCAGGACTCTAGGCTGCTCGCACGTGTTTTACGCGTCCTTGGTCTGATCGATAATCCACTGCTCTCTATTCGGCGGTCACAAGTTACAACAATAAATTAAATTATTTCAGTCAACCAGCACGGTGAGATGAAATCACTTTAAGACAAATCCTATAGTAGAAGTAGTAACAGTGGTAGTAAAAAAGATTACGTACGGAGAAGTGATTTTGGGAATGTGCAACGGATCGATAGAATTCAGTCAGAACAAAGGAGACTAGATGAACATGAAATTTTAGACTACTCAGCGACAACCAATGTTCATATGCATAATATAAGAGTTTTTTTACTTTATAATATCTTATGTAAGCTGAACTAATCCAAATATTTTATTTCTTTCAAATGGATAGTATTGTCGAGATAAACAGGCAAACAAACTTTCAATACAGATTGTGTCAGAAATTATTTACTTTTACTTCTCTCCTAAGAATATAAGCGAAAAAGCGTTAATGTCGTAAAAAATGAAAGCACTTTAGTTAACATTTAAAAACAAAAAAATATCACACATTCTCCTTATCAGCAATAAATCAAGTGAAGAACTTGGCAGTGTGGAGGGTGAAGGAAAGAGGAAGAGAACAGTTGTAGGCAACTTTGTGGAACACAATGATTCATGAATTTGCCTTTTTTTCATCGAAAACTATTGACCATCAAAAGTAGTAAAACGAAATGAAAAAGTTATCTATCTACAAATATTCCCTGTGAAAAGAATCAAATTACTATTGGAAAATGTGATATACACTATTTTCTTTACATAAACCTGACTTTTTATACGTACTTAATGTTTTTTTTAATGTAACTAACTCATTTACACAAAAGTAGAGGTAGCGCTTATTTGCCAATATGGGTCGGTCCAACAAAAGTTAATGAATTTATAGACCATATTTATTTTATGATATACCAATAACTAGCTTTCTTTCAGCATACTAATCTTTGGTCAGTAATTACCGTGTGACAAGGTACGTGGTGGTTTTTGTACACGTTTTACAAAATACCAACACCCCAGTAAAGCTGAATTCATAAATTAACATGGAGAAAAACCGCTGATTTCATCTAAAGGGAAGAATATACATCGTTTCATTACTTTTAATTTTCCTATACGGTATAACGTAATAACTAAAAAAGAACAAATAACCCATTTTAATCTTTCGATAAAAAAAAACTACCAGATTTAATATATAGTGTAGAAATATTTGAGAGAGAATAATAAAAAAAGGACGAGATTTATTGAAAGGAACGAATGAGATTGGAGAATTAAAAGTTCGGAATGACGTCACACTAAGGAGTTTAATGAAAAAGGAGGGTGAAATTAAATTTACCATATCATAACCGCATGTATACAATATCTTTCATGAACACGTACATTCAATGATCTAGATAATAATAAATGAACAACATTGCTGGAACATGAAATATAATATTCGAACTAGTAACCTAATGGTTTTATTTACCTGGTAAGAAAGCTTCTCCTCTTAATTGGTCAGGTATAGTGAATGCACGTTGAAATATTTTTCCATTACATGACCAAGAAATTGATCCTTTGTCTAAATCTAACAGGCAACCAATTACATCACCCTGATGAACCATTATTCCGTAATCATGACCAGTATTCCGATGCATTACACGTCCAGTGCCATTCATACCAGCAGAGCCTACAGCATCGGATCCATAACCAAAACCATAATTATCTGCACCAAGTTCTAAATTGGCATCATTAGTTGACCAACCGACACGTATAAGTCCTTCCTCTAAACAAGCCGCTTCATAGTAATATGCACCTGGAGCTTTTACACCTTTATTAGCTCTACAACCCTGAATGAAAGAAAAAAGACAGAAATATAGCATGAGATTAGACAGAGTGTAGACAATCCATTGACAAGGTGATTTTTTATGAAAGAGATGATAAGTGTCAAAAATGAGAAGAATATACAATAAGGATTAGTACATATACAAGTAGCTTACTAAAAATTCTAAACAAAGCAATATTATTACTGAAATCAAAGTTTTTTCACAACGATCGTCGCCTATGAAAATACACAGAATTATTATTGATAATTATGGTATATGCTTTTTTTTCTCGTGGAATTCAATTTAAGCGTATCGTAACAATTTGCACAGTATGCTATAATTAATTTTAGTGTACAAAAGAAAACACCACTTAATAAATGAGCAGAGTGATGACTCAGCTACCACTCAGAGGAAATAAAAGATAAAGATCATTAAAACATATAAAACACGTAGAAAGATGTCCCGGGACACATAAGCTTGAACGTACATGGTTCCAAAAAACGAGAGAAGGAAACACTAGGGTGAACCATACATAAAAATTTGATATTATTGACTGACCTCAATCATATTAGTCCACAGGAATACTATTATAGTATAGTTAATTACTAAATGACGCGCAATTAACTACGAGTATTTCAAGTACCATTCATGAACTGAAATTAAAACTTCCCAATATGTAATGTAGGAAAAAGTCAACACAAATCCATATATTATGATAACTTTATCTGATTGCTATTATCTGTTAAGTGTCTCAATCGTTACGTGAATTTAGTAGTGTTAGAATAAACTGAGATAGGTGGGACTTTGAAAACCATTCTGCATTGTATTTTCTTACGTTGCCCTAACTGTAGAATTTTATTTAACTTATAAACCGTTTATGAGTCACATCACATACACAAAAGTTGCGATTCATTATGCACTGGTCAGCTAGTTTCGTACACCAGATGACCCAGTCATAGTGCAGTATTGTTTTCTATTTGGTGCATATGATCATGTGGGTTGGTGATTCGTGCATAATAGTAAAAGCTGAATTTATTTGTTATTCTTGTCTTCTGATCGGACAGGTTAGGGACAGAAGAACTCTTATGGGCTAATCAATAGTATTACATACTGAAACTAGGCTATGGAAATAACTGGTATGTTGATATAAACGGAAGCAACATTAATGGAACTTATAGCAAGAAGATTAAGTGTAGGTTTTTCTACCATAGTGATGATCGACCAAGTCTTGGATCACTAAATAAGCATACATTTCGTCAAGATTATAGGTATACTGATAAAGAAAGTTATAGTTTACCCAAATAGTATAGTTCAAACTAATCATATCTCCTAATTTCTAATGAAATCAACCCGATACGCTTGAAACAAGATAATAAGTCGAAATTGAGCATGAATAGTATATGTCGATAGGAAAACACTGAATTAGCCAATAACACGCGAAATTCACCGGATTGCCAAAAGGTGAATTATACAAGTAGTAAGTCAATAATTTAAATTTCAGTCAGTCAGTAACAACGTAGAACTTCGTACGTACGTACATCAGTTCGAGTTGTCATACCACATTAGCACAGAGATGCAGTGGTCGATTCAAATCCCGTAGTGGTAGAGGTAATAAGAGTATAAGCAGTAATCGGGAAAATTAGCGTTTGGAGATGTTATTCAAAGACTATAATACAGTGAAATAAATTTGGGAAGAGGAAAAAAGGGACATGAAGGATTCAGAAGATTAGAATTTGGGAGAACACAAAGAGTGGATGCACCTGCGCCATTGCAAACGATTTTGAGCCATGTCATTCAGGGTCTCTAACAATCGGTTGCAATCATCTCGTGGTCCCCAACCAGGTAGTCTACACCTACCGACATGACTCAGTCCACTTGTCAGTGAATTCATGGACTTGTGCCATGTTTTGGTTTGGCCGCCCCTAGCTTTCTTCCAACCTACTCCTATACCACTGAACATAGCACGTCGAGGCAGTCGGTCGTGGGGCATACGTAACACGTGTCCCAGCCATCTCAACTGATGAAGTTTCACTACTTCATCAATTGATTTGCCGTCCTTACCTAGTACCCGTTTCCAAACAACTACATTACTTACTCGATAGTCCCACGATATACGAGCAATATTTCGAAGACACCTATGATCAAATACTAATAACCTACGAATATCTTCTACTCTTACCGGCCATGTTTCACTGCCATAAAGTAGGATGGAACGAACTGCTGCACAGTAAACACGTCCTTTGGTTGATAGATGGATATCTCGCAAGTTAGCAAAAGCTAACCGAGCCTTCTGTAAATTTGGTGAACACAATTTACCACTTTAAAGAACAACAAGATAAACATGAAGCTTCATTAATAAAATATGTGAAAGGGAGAGTGTGAAACAAGAAGAAAAACATGAAATTCATAGACATGCTTGATAAAGTTTTGTACTTACTTGCCATCCAGCTCCACGTGTAGATGCAACATCTAAGCCCCGAGCATCTATTCCTAAGCCTGCTGTACAATCAGCTCCAGTTATACGCCAGTGTTCAGGTTCAAATGATATCCTAGTAATCATTGTGGGCATATTATTAATATGGTTATTATTACTATTAGGATGATGACCATTCATTAAGCCGGTAACATCATTACTACTTGGTTGGTAATAGCGTTGAACACCTTGAGCATTTGGTATGGGCAGTCCATTGATTACATTTTGATTACAGAAATAAGTGGGATCCATACAGGCTGGATCACCACTTACCATAGCTGGTTGGTACTGATATTGACTGGCGACTGCACCATTCATATGATCCACTAAAGGTTAATAAACAGACAACTATCGTTATTATCATTAACTCAACGTCGTCATCGTCTATTTCTGACTAAAACTATACTCAGGTATCTTAAATCCAGCAAACATATCTGTCGAATATAGTAGAGAGAGAGAGAGAAGACTCACATTTGGCATTTGTTATTAATGTTGGGAAATTTAAAAAAAGGTTAGTCTAGAGCTAAACAACCAGTAAACTAAAATAAAATAAGAATTGAATGCTTACATTGAGTTTATCAAAACTCTTTATGGATAAAAAAAAATCAACCATTTGATATTCATTTATTTAATAATCTACAGTAACAGGCATATTTTTACATATGGAGCATTATTAAAGACAAGATGGATTACAACAATAATTATGGTTTATTTGCAGGAGTCTTCTGGAGATTAACATAATTTTTAGATTATATTAGTTACACATCAATTTCTAATATAAAAAGTGTGTCTGGTCGTATTTAATAGGTATGTCAAGAAATAAAAATTTCCCCTCGATTATTTCTTTATTTAAATACGTAAATATTGGTATACGGAGGCCCCGAAAAGAGACGAGTTCGCATGGTCACTGAAGGATGATTTTATTTGCCAGTAGTTATTTAGTTCAGTTACGCCTCCTAAGAGTTGTTTAGCAACCAACCCATCACTAAGCTATCTATCAGCTTTCAATCTCACAATCACAACAATATTATTTCAAGATAGCTGACTGACTACAACTACTAGTAGTACTGATAAACATCAAAGTCATATAAACTAAATCAATTTTTTCTGTCGGGAGATCCGTTTTGATTTTTATTCTTTCGTTGAAAAGAATTTATATTTTCTCAGAAATAATACGCATGTACGTCAATGGGACAGAAACTGAAAATTGACAAAAACAGAATCAACAAAAAGAAGACAATAACAAAATATCAGGGGTTTTGTGGATATTTTAGAATTGGTTGGGGTTAGACATTAACATTGTTGGATGCCGTCTCAGTGGTCTAGATGGTTAAACGCCTGGCGTGAGACTGATAGGTCCTGGGTTCGGATTTCGCGGGGGCGGGATCGTGGATGCGCACTGATGAGGAGTCCCATACTAGAACGAAACGGCCATCCAGTGCTTCAAGGTTTTCCACGTTGATCTAGCTTCAACTGACTCATGATTTCAACCAGTGAAACAACAAATTAGTTAGAATGAATATATTGAAGAGAGGGAGAGCGAAAAAAACTCAAGCGAATTTTCAATGTAACCAAATTTATTTCTTATAAAAATTGAACTTTATTTCATTAAAAGTGCCATATACATAATATCATCCATTACTTAGTCGAATAAATTGTAATAATAGAAGAAATGGAAGCACTGATGGGAAGAAGAACGACATATATTCAACTTCTTTTCCGCTACAGAATATAAAATAAATTCGTTTATCTAATAAGTAAGAGTACAGTGAAGGAATGGTGTTAAAACAACCGCAAAGAACTTTCAGCTATTTCTTAGGTAATAGCAAACACCATAGTTAAATTGATAGTTCATGGAAAACGAAGCAATAATACTACATAGTATTAACAAAATTAGGGTACTTAAATTTGGATAGTGCCCATTCACTTGTTAACTACACGCTAAAAAAACAGACCTGAGTATCTGGTGTTTACCATAAGGTAGTGAAAAGTGTTTTTTTTTTAAAAAAAATTTCAATTCAAACATTTTGAACAACGTAAAACGATGATCATTACTACTGTTCAATATAAATGGTGTTTGAATTTCAAGTGAGAACATAAAAACCTCAATTTACATTAAACTGTTTTGTACATAAACGGTACTTTTACCGTTTAATGTTATCAGTATATTTAGTTTTCGTTTTTAAAACATAATTATTTAATCTAAAAAGTTTCCAAATATTCGGCCAGAGATTTCTTTTAATTGTCAAATTGAGAAAAAAACTGCTGTAAATTCAAGCAACGAAATGATGACGAAAGATTATCGAGGATTAAATTAAAGGAAAATTAAATTCAATATAATTTTTATTGAGATCGAACAATAGTGAATTCAAAAAACGTATTTAAGAGAATTTAAATGGTCAATCAAATAATGTGAACACAGAGCTGATTGTTAAAAATGAATAAAATTGTAGAAAATAACAACTGACTAGGTGATTGATAAAATATTAAGGAAATTATTATTTACATAAAACCAGTTTACTCAAGATTTGCATGAAAATAACAATCGGCGAAACATGGTGGACAACTACGAAATTTAAATAATAACAAAGCAAGCACTACTTATGATTCTGTTAATTATCACAACAAAATGAATGTTAGCGCATTCGTAACATTAAATGCAAATCGTGAATATTGTAAAGAGTGAGTATTACATAATACCAACTGACTAGAAGATTACAGTTATCAAATAAGCATTCCAAAAGATATGGTAATAATTTTTCTAGATTAGTACTTGACTAAGAGATCTAATGTAAACAAATCATTTGCCAGGTAAGTTGGAATTCGATATTAGTAGAACTCTTAGTAGATTAAGATCTCCACCAGTATGTCGCTGGTTCAAATTACCACTCAGTTAGGCAAGCTGGCTTTTATCAACAGACCTCATATATGAAAAAGTATTACTCAAAGCCGAGTACATGGACCTGTTGTACATGGTAAACGAAACTACATTACGTTACCGAGAGAAGTAAGTCAGGCTAAGGAAAAAAAGTGAAAAGACAAACATGAAACAAACTAACAGCTTTATATTATGGTTAACTCATTACTTTGCTTCAAGTCACGTCCTAAGTTTGAGGGCCAGTAATAATACTCAAAGTGATGAGGACTCGAACCTAAAGAGCTGAAAGTCGAAGATATTAATCAATGAGTCACTACTCCAGCGTCCGTGTTTTGCGTGAGGTGGGGACAGTTATGTCAAACATGATTATCTCTAAAGAAAATTACTTCGCGTGGGATTCGTAATCCGTTATAATTACAAACTGTAAAAATTGTGCCTTCCAATTAAATTAATAACAATAAATACCATTATCAAAGGGTTAATAAGACATGATTTAGAAGAAAAACACGCAGCGGTAATGTGACCGAATATTACTATAAACACTACATTTATAAGAGATAAAGATTAAGAGTATATTTCAAAATTAAAATCAGCATTGACCAATAAGTGAGTAAGCTAATGTGTTGTATGTTAAATTATAATGTAGGCAAGGGAACTTTCATTTACCTCAGTCAATAACTCACAATGATGAAATAAATATTTGAGGACATTATTATGACCTTAATTATAAGCACAAACATATCTCTCCCCGCAATTAAGAGACGGTGTCGATATAGATTACCTAATGGATTGGCAATCAGAACTTTTAACTGTTAGATAATGGGGATCATAGTGGATAAAAAGTGACAGATTAACATGATATATCCGAGGTCCTATTATTGATTATTTTATGTTCTACCTAACAAAAGGCATACCTTTACCTCCACCATTGCAAAAAACTGGGTTTTATCAGCCAGTTTTGCTGTTGGTTCTGTCGCGCAAAAGTGATGTATGTTCGCTAGCACAGAATCAAAGCTCGCTTGAAAATGAAATCACTGTTTTTTTATTACGGCGACCTTGGATGGGTTGCCTCAAATAAATTAATACGTGTTAGAAGTGCCTCAGGTCTGTGGCATGTTTGTAGGCTAGCTTAACTTAGTAGCACACGTGCCTTTAAGAGATCTGTATAATTCGGAAAACGCCGAACAACATATATTTATGTGCATTGTGTGTTTTTGTCTGCCTTTCATCAGCTGCAGAAAACCTTTGTGTTGCACTTCTTGATTGTCTATCTATGGCTAGCAGTAGGTTAGTTTGTGTATTTAATTCTTTCTTGACTCAAACTTTTGTCAATTTATTCAATGGTAAGACTGAGTTAAATGCGCCTGAGAGTATTTCAACATACTTAACTGATACTTCTCGATGAACGGTGCTATCTTAAAGGTTCTTGACACAGAACCAACCCACCAAACACGAATGGCTTCAAAATATAAAAATGGTCATAACAACTTCTAATTAAGTGCAGCAAATCCTCTTCAAGCTAGCGCTAATGCAAATAGCTTTAGCCCACGCTACGTGCTATACTATCGGGACTATGATACAAATAGCGGTACTTCGTACAATATATTTTCGAATACAGCTCTTAGTATCACCTCTGGCGAATCACATTAAAGCCATGTCAATCCGTATGTGAAATATAAACTTGCTACTTCTTCACAATTTCAGTCATCCAGTATTCTCACCCTTTCCTCCTGCTTACACTCTGCAAGCAAATTCACTAGCTCAATTTATATACCCCCTATAACTGTTATAAAAAGGTGTTGTTGAGGGACCACCAATCCTTCATTTTAAACCTACATCACACTATTGAGGGATGTGATAACTCTTTTGATCTAAATGCTCTCACCCAATGAGCAATTTGTTTAACGTATGTTTTATTAAAGCTTGGACGATCTGTAGTAAAAGGACGGATTTAGCCCTGTTTGTATCCCTTTATCAACCATTACTTGTAATGATGTCTGGAGTACGAACAACCAATAATATTTCCGATTTAAATATATCTCTTGATAACTATTTCCCATATAGAAATAATAGGTTGCAAGGAAGAGGCCGAAGGTACCTTATTTATGCTCACTCTAGCCGGAATTCGCTCCTATGTGATATGCCAGGATTATACACACTACACAATTTTGTGTAGTGTTCTAAAGTCATCAATTTCAGTTTTCTTGCTATTCGGAGGTCTTTATGTTCAACCTAATCTACCAACAGGAAGAATGGTAACATTACCAGAAGCCTTCACACTCACCTTATCCTTATCATTCACTGGCAAGTATATTCGAATGCCTACATCATGCCCGAAATTTCCTGGTTTCCAATTAAGGCATCGAAAGGTTTTGGATCGTTTATTGGGCTTAGAGCTTGGACAGTGGACTCAGTATGCCGACAACTCCACAAGTAACACAATCCGTTTCGATTTACCGAAGAAAAATTTAAATATAATATGAGAAACGATGTGAAACACACTAACCTGTACCTACAAGCGCTATTCAAACTATATATATATATATATATGGGAAAATGACACAGATATGACTTACTTTCACCGCGGTTAGCAAATGTAAACCATCCTATGTGGGAAAAACGATAATGGATTAGTGGAAGTATGGTGTAAGCACAACAATGAAATAATAATAATAGTCATATAATACATATTCTAAAAATAATAATTTTAGAATTCATGACAGCTTACAGGTATGATTAGCTTGATATAGATAATAATATTAAATGTAGAGAACAGATATGTGAACAAGACTGCAATAAGAGTTATGTAAATCCTTACTATTCATGATGCAAACATCATAACCGTTGAGAAAGTCTAACGGCAACCGGAACTCAGTAGATCAGAGGATAACAAAGTTGTTTTTAAATGGAAGGTACTAGATTCGAGTCTCAGTACCGGACACTAACACAGGAGAGTGACAAGTATGTCCAGCTGTGTCGCAAATAGAATGAAATGCATACTAACTTCTAGCCATAAATCATCTATTCTAAATAATGAATTGTAAGGTTCATAAGTTACCGAAAACTGCTTTGATCAGAGAATTTTTGATGTAATCATATCAACGCTGTAAAATATATATAAAATATAGGTATTTCCTTGTTTAATTTTGTGAATTGTCTTTTAGTGGACAAATTAAGTTATGACATAAAACTAATTATAAAGTCCTTGGAGCAGTAGTTGTTACTCTCTATAACTTTAATCGTTTAAAAAATACAGGTAAATAAAATCCACGTTATTGATAAACTTTAGACTTTAAAAAATGGTTTAGATATTTCGATGTATGTGTTGAGATTTTCGCAAATCGTAGTGCATTGTCGTTCGGTATTTTGGGTCATAAATCAATCTAACACCAAGTTAGGTTATGAATTTAAACTAAGATGTAATATAATAACAATTATTGAATTTATGACTGCAATATTATGCATAATAGCTCTTACATTCATCACTGAAATCGATAGTACATACAGATCACCACAAACGTTCAAACAAAAATGTCAGAAAGCTTAATTGATAGATTATCACAATCACATATTTGTTGTTGATCGGGTTTATATTAAAAAAAAACATACAGGATTTATAGTTAGTGTTGTATTGTTTTGAATTAAGCTTATACTTAACATACAAAAGATTTAGAGGTTTGAGCAAATGCTTTAACAGGATAAATACGAAGGGGCTTGAACCTTTGGAACTACTCTATCAGAAATTATTGTCAACATTTTTGCAGTATAATTGTTGAGTGCGTAAATTATTTTATTCTACTGTTTGTAAGCTTTTACGTGATGTATAAACTGTTATCGTATATAATATCTTTTCCAAGTTACAGTTAATTTATTACGAAATTAATACTCAGTTTACTTTCACATATGGGGTAATTATGACCATTTCGTAATTTCTTAATTATGTTGTTGTGTGGCAAGGATTCTACTTCATATTATGATGTGAACGATTCGTGGTCAGACGCGGGAGAATCGTATTTTGGGCCAACAGTTGTTAAGTATTGTTCTCGGTTGCTTTATCACTATCATATTATGGTTGTGAAGCAGAAGGTCGTCGGTACTAGATAGATAATCTAGGAAGAATTAATCAATATTCGGACTAGATCAATACAATTGCTATCGTGTATAACGGCACGATTACGCAGACAGAAATCTGTTATAATTTCATTACATGAAGTAGACGATTTATCACCTCTTATTATTGGTATAACTTGATCTGATGTTTTATGGTCAGACGCTTAGTTCAAATGAAAAAAGAAAATTGAATCATATCTTTAAAATTTAGGTGTATTTTCATTATGGCCAATGATGGTTTAAAAATTGAAGTTTTACAGTGCAACGACTGTATTATTAGCAATAATATTCAATATTAAATTTACGTGTACTTGCCCAGACCAATTATTATTATTATTTCAACACATAAATATCGGTACAAGAGGGCACCAAATATATATGCGCCACACCATATTTGTGTCTGTGTGGGCTGTGATACTGCACGGGTGCCCAGACCGAAACAGGTGGTTTTCTTAGGGGACCACACCCCGAGCCTTTGACCTGAAGGTCTGATCCACAAGACAGTGGAACATCGTGAGGAGATGCATTCCCATGGTAGCCAGTGACCGAAAATTGGTTCATACGCCATTTATTCCTGCAGGATACTGGAGCCCATGTGCACCCTTGGTTTGGGATCCGGTTAAAGCGCCGGACATTCGCTTTTCGTACTCTCATTTTCGTAAACAACACCCCTGCCACGAGAAGGCAATGAGTAGGACTTCCCTGACAGAGGCTGTATATGCGTGGCCGTGTGAGAGCATTTCGAGAGGGAGGGAGGGCCCACCCCACTCTCGGCCATACCAGGGCATTTGGGGGTGCCCAGACCAATAGTCATCACGTCTAGAATATTTAGAACTTTATAAAATATTCAGTAATTACCAAGATAGGTAGATGTAACTCAACTGCCAAGATCAATGTATTCGGCTTCGAAATAAACTTCCTGTATGAGGGTTAGTAATATTACCTGGTTGCCTAAACCGAAATACACAGAGACTCGCACCTGTGACTTTGTAGTGGAAAGTAAAACACATTAACCACTAAAGTGGTTGCTCCACAATGAAGTAAAACAAATATGAACCTCACCTCACCTCCCGTTTAGTCAACTCAGTAATATGTTTAACCATCATACCACGACTTAAAACAGTGCACAAACCGATACACGATGAGTTAATATTGAGCACAATGGAATAACACATAAAAACAAATGAAACTTATCTATTACTCTTACCAGTCTCTGAAGGATGGGCAGGCATTGGACGAAATTTAGATAAAGGTCGAGATGTTTGATTATGTCCACCGACACCGACAGTAGCGTCAATCGACGATGAATTCACAGTTGTGCCAGGATAATGATATTTGCGAGTAGCAAACGAAGGGAATAAACTTGGTTTTTTCGGTCTAGACGACCCACGAAGTCTATGTAAACATACGTAAATCAAAATAATCGTAATAACAATCATAATAACAAAAAGCAAGATTAGGTCGAAGAATAGGATACAACAATTCATGAAAACTTGAGAGAAAACAATACTGCGATGTACCAGTGGCTTTTCTTATCCTTAAATCAAATAAAAAGATTCCGAATTGTCGAGAAACAAATGAATATATATGTGAGGAAAAATCAATGGCTTTATCCTGGTTTACGTAAAAAACCTATACAAAGTCATTTTTCGTATTTGTAAGTAATTGAATATATTTCGATTGGCTGACAATGTAATTAGATTAGCACTACAAATTAATTGACGACCAGAGCAAGACAGTCAACAATCGAGTGAAACAGCTTATTAATGACATTCCATGACTAGTGTTAGAGACCTTGGGTGATAAGGCTCCAAATTGTTCCCATTGGCGCAAATGCATTCATTCCTTGTCATCCCGTATAAAGTTTCTTTTCACTCCGATAAACTATACTTTCTTCTCGAATCATATCTTCGATGTCTAACTTTTCTCTATGACTATTAATGCTGTCATAACTTTCTCCACTATTCTAAGCAATTTCATCTCGATGTGCCATTAGGGTATGGCAAATCGAAGCAATGTAAACATGTGCCAGATTCTACGTTACGTATAACGGATCATTCAATATTATGTTTTTTCCTGAAGAACAATATATATACAGACAAAACTTGTTACAAAATATATCGTCAATGTGAAAGTCTCCACAAAACCACTACATAACATTTAATAATGATAATCGTAACTTTGGGCTTATTAGTGACAACATTTGAGATGGACTTTGTCAAGATCTGGTACAATATCATAGCCCACCACCCTCTAAAGTCAATTAGGTCGAAAATAACATATCAGTTACAAAGGAATGAAAATCACGCCGTGTATCGTGACTTGATTGAAGTAGAAAGCCAAAAACTGATGCAACTTAATTACTGAGTACAGATTCGTGTACTTGATTATGAACCCCAATTTATGTGACGATTTGTGATACTACTCGGTTTCTCGAACCAAAGTAAGTGGTGTGAGGTTAGAACCTTTGATCTAGTGATTACAAATTGAATGCATTCTGAGTCATGGGGTGAACAGTTGTGATGAATCTTAATTTAGGATTTAACGATTGTCTGGTGGCTATCAGTTTTCCAGATAACGTAAATCCCCAACGAAAATGTTAGAAGAAATATTTGAATTTTACAATCCCATCTTCTATCATATTCGTGATTGCTCATATCCCACTAGCTGTAATTTTTATGTTTCTCTTTTGCCATGAATCACCTAAGTGGGAATTTACCTTTTTCAATAGGTTGGTTAGTTTTCTTGAGAATAAAATGGATAGGCATTTGCATTCTGATTGTACAAAACTACTACAGAAGTTACTGATTTTCGTTTGTATTATTTACATCGGCTGTTTGTCAGCCTCTGTAACTTATTTATATATTTGAACACATAAATATTGGTACAAAAGGGCACCAAATACATATGCGCTACACAAGTCACTTGATTTGTGTATGGGGTGTGATACTGCGCGGGTGCCCAGACCAAAACCCTTGCAATAGTTTCAAGGCCATTTTTTAATCTCATGAGTTGGAGCGAATCTGTGTGCTTGAATAAACATGAATTTTACTTTTAATCTATGTCTTAAATATCAGTGTTTCATTTCCGTTGGCTTAGATATCATCAAATGTATTTTGCGATAGAAGATATTTATTTTAAAAACAATTTAAAGGTCAAAGTTTTTACAACATGCAGTATTATAGTTACGCTGATAAAATTTTCTTTAAACTAACTGACTAAAAATCCGAATCCACAGGTATGAAATTAAGATAAACAAGAGTAGGAACGATAAGAAACCTCTAAACTGTTCACAAATCAATGACTCAGTTGACAGGCATTACAACCAATTACTGTGAATGCTCATTGGCATTTATGGATAATTCTCTTGTCTAATGAAATTAGCTTATTCAAGAGATATATTTGCCTAAACGGGTGTACTACAGAAGTCGATAAAAATAGTGTTAGATTCTATGGTAAACAATAAAACGAAACGAGGGAAAGAACAACGATATTTCAGAAAGTCCAACGTATCAATATTGCGGTATTTTGGAAGTTGAAGCAGAAAAAATAATAATGAATATATATATATATAGTATGCAAAAGAATTTTTATTAAGCAACGAAAGAAAATGGTTAACCTGAAAAAATTATGATGATCCACACAAACATTATATAATCGTTTAGCCAGTGTAGCACTAATACATTTAAAAGTCATATTACGATCTAATGAATCATCACCAGGTCTTCGTGCAATAATAAAATTACGTCCACGATGTGATAGACTTATAATACGCGGCCAACTAACTCTCATTAAACGAATACGATTACGGTATAGCAGGATACCTCCATAATAAACACCTAGAGTAATATCTTGACCCTGAGACGTCTGTAAAAAAACAACGAAAAAAGAACATTGGATGAAGAAACTCTGAAAATATTATAATACTTAATACTGTATAATTTATTCTAAATGATGGGTGAGATAAATAGAGAGAAAACAACACTGAAGTAGAACCAAGTAAGTTAGAGTTTTGAGGGAACACTAGAAATATACATATTAATAATTGCAAACTAAAAATTTATTCATCTTATGAAATTTACACCAAGACCTAATTAGTCTTAGTCAAAAGTTGAATCTGTGCGGCATAAAATTAAATAAAACCTCAACTACATATAAATCAATTCTGCGCTTTCATTTCCACTGATATTAAATATTGTGGGATCAAGTGGTAAATTGAACAGGGTACTAAGATGATATTTTCAATCTTCTGTTGTTAATGACCGATGTCAATTAGATAATTTTAAATACTAGTAAAAGCATTAGTATCACAGATGTTTAGTGTACACTGAGTTAGTGAACTCAAGACGATCTTTTGGCTACTGAGCTGGGTTTATTTCTTTTAACACGAAGAAACAAACTGCGCTCAATTCATTCGGGATAAAGAAACGAGTGACGAAATAGCAATTCTGTCGGTTAGTGTCATTTTTCATGAAAAAATCAAGTTTATTTGATGGGGAAAAGATATCGAACATTTTAGTAGCATAAAACACACGACCAGACGAAGATTTTCTAGTGAAAGCATAAAAACAAACTAACAATCTAACAACAATATACTTGAAAAAAGATCCAATGTGCCCGCGTGAAGTTCACAATTACATTTATTTTGTGGATCAACACCACCATCTTCAATAGAAATCTGTACACATTCACAACATAGATCTATTTTATTTATTATATTCTAATTACTGTAAAACATGATGGAAATAAATGCAAGTTGAAAACATATGTCCGTTAGACAATCACAAAGAGTAAATTACTTGTGTGTATTCATAATTTTCTTATGCATGTGTAAAACAAAAAACCAAGTAAGCGATACAAGAGATGAGACTTTAGAATTTCACAACTTAGTGGTTTATAGTGTAAAAATTTAATGTACGTGTAACAAACAACGCGAAATTTTATGAACTCGCATAGAAAGAGAACATTAACCATCTGTGGAATATGTGATAAACGCACTAATCGATTTGATATGTGTTTATTACTATTTGTGAATTTATCTTGTGAAGTGCATGTCACTAACATTTACTAGGCTAAATTTCACAAAAAAAGATAACAGTAGGGTAAACTGATGAGTAGAAGACTATCACCTCTTCATTTATAGATGGATATTTGAGTTGTACCATTTGTATTTCATGTTGGTGAAGACCACATGAAGTTCTTGTATTACGCTGAGATTTTGTCAGACACACACCGACTAATTTGGTGAGACCTCCAGGCTTGAATATTTATTTTATTATTAGACACCAAACTAAACATTGATGTAAGATGTTACACGTAGTAAGAGAGAAATTCATCACATATATATTCTTTTGTTATTACTACGAATTTTGTTAGTTTGCACAGAATAGAACCATGTCAGTAGTGTAATTTAAGTTGGTAATCTTTTGGTAGGAGAACAATGAAAAGTCTTCTAAATGAACGCTAGATTCGGTTCCTAAGTTCTTCTAGTAACCTCCGGGCTAGATCTACATAGCAACTCAACGTGAAGGAAAAGGCTCCAAATATGGAAGAAACGCTTTCCTCCAAAGGTTCGTTTATGTGCAGAAAATCTAGGGTTTTTTATAGTATTTTAGATGTCCATGGGTTTTCGGAAAACTCTGGAAAGCGACTAAACATAGTAGCAGTAAAGGTAATCATCCAACCAGAAACTCGACATGTGACTTTTCACTTTCTAGATGTTTCTGGAAAAATTTATAGTGAATGCTAATCGGATAAGATGCTTCTTAGCGTTTTCAAAGTATCTGTTGGTTTTTTTCGAGTTTTCTGGATCTGCCGAAGAAATAATAACTGAACATTCAAACAGTGTTTATCCTTATCTACAAATATGCCTACGATGACTATTACTAACGTCGTCCGCCTGTAGATTCTAGCTGTTTGAACGAAACAACTTACTATCACAAGACACTTACACAAACATCATTCTTGGAGTACGAGTTTGATGTCGTTCTCCAAACAACTTGGCTAGAATGGTAAAATCTAAAGGATCGAATGTCCCATCCAATAGAGCTCGAAAGGGTTTGTTTATTATGGGTTATCCTAACGACTAAATCGAGGTAGTAGTTACAATAAGACAAATGAAACTTGAACCGAATTACTTGGCCACTCAATGAATTCAAAAGTGTGCATTGTGGTGAAAACACATCAATAAAGTTGAAAATAATGTGTTTCAATCATTATGGAATTTAAAGCAAAGGACTTCCAGTAATAATTTAAATATCATACTCCAAATGCACCGATCAATTCGAGGTACCGTAATTAGTATAAGCTGTTATGAATTTATGTAGTTCGTTTTGAACGAATTTTTTTATTTGCAAAAGCACCATTGACATCATCCAACTGGGCAGGCCAAAAATAAATGAAGTGTAATTCTAATTTACGGTTCGGAAATGTTGAGGATAATTATCCTCTTTCAATGTTCAGTAAAAGTGTGATATTTAACATCTTCCCGCTCATATATTGTGTCAATGCTGCATCGTGGATTACATTTTACCATCTAACGCTATCTACATGTCTTCTGTCAACACCCGATCGTAGCACATCTCAATTCGCTGAATGAAAAAAGTGAAAGTTGGGGCTCGAAATGAAACATTCAGGGGAAATGATGCTCTAATATTTAGTATCAACTCAATAAATCAATAGAACACTGAGGGTTGAATGCGCAACAAATTCACAGGCACGTATCCTATCCTTTCGTGAGTTAACCATTGATTTGATTATTTGGTGTTTAAAACAATTCTACAAACTATCAATAATTGATATGTCTTAGCTGGTTTCATTTAGGTTGACTGATTATCTACAAGTCGACTAGCAGTTCTGGTAAATTTATGTGAGCTACTACCTACCGGCCCCCCCAAATGATACTAATACTCAGCCAGTAATTATATTTGTTTTACATATTCATACATTTGATATATTAAACTAATATTAATGTAATATATGGAAAAGTTAAACACGACCTAAACAATAAGTTCAAATGGATAAACCACATGAATGTGTAATACGTTAACGTCACTTATTTAATGTTTAAAAACTCTACGAATAAGGCCAGCTACTTAAATAAATAAAAAAACTGATTAGTAAAATTTGTGAATCAACGATAGATAATAAGACAAAATATTAAAAGCAAACAACCAATCTAATTTTGATAATAGGAGTGATACACAGACATGTAGACGCAAACATAAACACGTACAAAGTCAATTTGCGTATGTATGTATGAGGCAATTAGATAAGTGATGAAGTCTGGTGATTTAAAATTTAGTCGAATTCAAGATATAGATAAATGAATAAACCAAAGAATGCAGAACACTAATTTAATTTTAGATAGTTGGACCGCTTGGACTTTACAAAACATTTATCTGTCTGTTTATCGATCAGTTGAGGATCTGACACCATGACTGACTAGTCGACCTAATACTATAAACCAATTTCGGTATTTACTTATGTAATGCATTAAAAGAAGTAATGACTCATGATAAATTATATTTCAATAAATCTATATTATTCAACAAAAAGTAAATCACTATTTGTTAATAGATGATGGAGTTTCATTGTTTCCCAAATAATTAATGACAGAAAGATTTCAGTCAGTAAGTCAGCTACAACGTAAGACCAGGCACATATGTGCATCGGTCCAAGTTCCCATACCTCATTAGCACAGCAAGATGAACACCGGATTCATAGGAGTAGTTAATTCAGAGGTGGTAATATATAAAAGAAAGATTGCAATAAGGATATAGTACAGGAAGAAAGAATTAGTTCGTAGAAAGAAAGATATAAAGTGATTTTAACCGCATAGTTCAAAGAAAGGTAAAGAGTGTATACACCTACACCACTGTGATCGATTCTGAGCCACGTCACCAAGAGTCTCCAACCATTGATAACGATAGTCACGAGGACCGCAACCAAGTAGTATGCATCTACCAACATGGCTCAGATCAGAAGTTAATGTCTTCACGCACTGATGCCATGTTTTCGTTTGGCCACCACTAGCTTTCTTCCAACCTGCTCCTACACCACTGAACATAGCATGTCGAGGCAGTCGGTCGTGGGGCATACGTAACACGTGTCCCAGCCATCTCAACTGATGAAGTTTCACTACGTCATCAACTGATTTGCCATCCTAACCTAGTACCCGTTTCCAAACAACTGCATTACTTACTCGATAGTCCCACGATATACGAGCAATATTTCGAAGACACCTATGATCAAATACTAGTAACCTACGAATATTCTCTACTCTTACCGGCCATGTTTCACTGCCATAAAGTAGGACGGAACGAACTGCTGCGCAGTAAATACGTCCTTTGGTTGATAGACGGATATTTCGCCTACGCCATAAATGACGCCAGTTGGCAAAAGCTAGTCGCGCCTTCTGTATCCCTGCTGAGATTTCGTCACAACACGTAAGTTGGCAAAAGGCAAACGAGCTTTTCGAATCCGTGCTGAGATTTCGTCAGACACCAACCCATTAGGGCTGATCAGACTTCCAAGATAAGTGAAGTTGTCAACGCGTTCGACTACTTCACTCCCTATCCTTAGTTCAGGTGTTGACGCAGACCAGTCCTGAAGCAACAACTTGCATTTAGAGGGAGAGAAGCGCATCCCAAACATTCTGGCATTGTTGCTTAGTGCTACCAGAAGACTCTGCATTTTGTCAGCGTCTTCACCAAACAGGACTATGTCATCTGCGTATTCTAAGTCGATAAGTGGACCTCCTGGAAGGAGATCAATACCCGAGAACTCAGTCGACGAGAAAGTTATTTCCATCAGTAGATCTATGATGAAGTTAAACAAAAATGGAGAAAGTGGACAGCCTTGACGGACACCACTTGAGGTTGCAAAGTAGATGACAGTTCGCCATAAGCTCTGACTCGACTAGTAGTGTTCGAGTAAAGAGCCTTCACAAGGTTTATGTACTTCTGAGGTACGCCTTTCAATGACAGACACTGCCACAGAATCTCGCGGTCCAACGAGTCAAATGCTGCTTTTAAGTCAAGAAAGACCACCATTGTCGGACGCCGATAGGTATGCCTGTGTTCTAGAAACTGACGAATGGTGAATATGTGGTCGATGCAGCCACGACCAGGTCTGAAGCCACCTGATTTTCTCGTGTTTGCAGTTCACGAGTCTTAGTTAGGCGTCTGATAATTATCGAGGCTAGTATTTTAGATATTATATTAGTTAAACTAATCCCTCTGTGGTTGTCACAGGATGATTTTGACCCTTTCTTATATATTGGGACGATAAGTGATTGTGACCAGTCAGATGGGATAACGTCTAACTCCCAGATTTTAGCTAAAATATTAGTCAACCTAATCGCTAAAATTGGACCACCATCCTTAAAGACTCTGGAGCCAATCCATCTGGACCAGCTGCCCTTCCTCGTTTCAGATTAACTATAGCCTTTTGAACTTCAGCGAGAGTTGGGGGAATGGAGGGTAGTTGTAGAGTAGCTGAAGGCCAGCTGAACTGTTCTCTGAAATGTTCCGCCCATCGTTCTAAACGTCTGGACTGGGAGCAGATGAGGGTGTCGTCTTTTTCCGAAATAATCTCACTTACACTTGACTTATTAATTCCAGTTTCTTTTATTAGTCTGTAAAGCTGTCTTGTGTTCCCTATAGTCGCCGCCTTTTCCATCTCTTTTGCTTTCATTGCCCACCACTGCTCACGGTCGTTTCTTAGACTTTTTCTTAACCTAGATCTGATTTGTTGTCGCTCTTCATCATGTTCGGAACCTGATGGGACGAGTTTGCGAGAATCCATCAGTGTGATAGACTTTGAAGAAATCCACTGGTTCTTTGTAACTCTGTGGTTTAAGTCGTTAATAGATGTCACTGCTGCTTCCACAGCTGCTTGTATGTCTTTCCAAGCAACATCTGGGTCAACCTCGTTTTCAGAACTACCTAAGTGTGACCTCAGTTGTTCCTGGAAGCTACTTTCGGTTTTCTCGTTACTCAATTTAGTTCTAATGGGTGTTCTTAGTGTGGCTTTTTTGCGTCCAGTGAGGCGCAAGCAGATGCGGGCCCGTATTAGGGCGCGGTCGGAGTCCAAGCAGGTATTTAAGAACAAGCGAGTCTTCTATCCAGCCTCTCCGACGATGACTGATGGTAATATGGTTTATTTGAGTCTATCGTTGGCTTGGTGCAGGCGGTCGCTATGTTAGACGATGTCTCTCCTTATGCTTAAAATTAGTGTTTGTTAAAAATAAACGATTGTCTGAGCACAGTTGCAGCAGACGATCACCATTATCGGTTCGCTGAGCCGGAATGTCAATATACCAACCTAAATTTCTTTCTGTTTGGTTTAAGCTACCTACCTGGGCATTAAGGTCACCTGCTACGAGTACTATGTCTGAGCGTTTAGCTTAATGAAGAAGTACAGAAAGCTTTCCGTAAAACTCATCCATCACTTCATCCGAACTACTGTCAGTGGGAACGTAGGCAGAAACGACGAAAAGACAACGAGGTATCCCTATCCTTTCGAGTTCTTATGGAGCCGTTCAGCTGAACAACATTTAGGCGACTGTTAACGGGGATCCATTTTAATGGTGCTTGTTCTGCCCTCGTACTCAGTGCTATGCCTACTCCTGCCAGTCCACGAGAGCTGGCCGTCGGGTCACCAGATACACGGAGGGTGTATCTCGTTGGCTCTTCGTTTTGCCGAGGTGAGGTCAAGTGAATGACCACACTGGGATCTTGTATGCGTGTTTCAGAGACACAGCATACATCAATGGTACGAGATTCTAGGGTTCTAGCCAAGGAAACCTGTTGACCGATTCGACATAAGGTGCGTAAGTTGAAGGCTCCAATGTGTAGTTTGGAGAGAGGTTTCAGTAGACCTGGGACAGTGTTTTGAGCACTAGAATCGTTGGCTATGGTGACACTTGAGGGGGAAGCCGAAAAAGGAAGTTTAGAGGTGAAAGTCGATGTAGGAGGAATAATAGGAAGTGAAGACGGAGGTTGATTATGAATACACAGAAAGATTTAGGTGGATATAACAAGACAATATGGGACAGAGGAAGCATTTAGTACTTAAACAATTGGATGAAGCAATAAAACTAATATTTAAAAAATTGAGTGAATGGTGAGGTAGGAGTCTATTTTTCATGTCACGTGGCTGTAATGGTCAGGCTTCACAACTAATTCTACAAAACATGAGGCTAGAAGTAACATGAACATCACGAAGACACGAACTATTCCTTGATAGTCGAATAATGAAGACCGTAGTTTTGGCAGTAATTTTGTTTGAATTATATTAGTGCAAAACAACTGACTGCCTCGATGTTTGGTAGTGTAGGAGTATGTTGGAAGAAAGCTAAAAGCGACTAAACTTTGATGTGGTACTAGTTTACAAAGTCACTACATGTTATTTGAATTACATTGTGTTAGTGGGGATGTGCTACATGGTTGAGTTATTGTAACGAATTGTGAAGATATCAAGCGACAGGACTAGAAATCGGTAACAAATAGTAGTAGATAAATTCACTCCTTGTTTCCCCTTAGATCTTGAGTTTCAAAAACAATCTACTTGTTAGATCCAGTTAAGCATAATGAATGGTAACTTTTGGGATCCATTTATGAACCAATACTATGTGCATATTTTTATCGTATAATTGTTAAATAACTAAACTATACATATTCATGTCCATTTTATTATGAGCTTTATTTTGAACTATGAACTATGATTATACGATTTACCATTCTTGAAATTATGCCCTGTCTATTAATTACTACCTCCCACATTCATAGCCACATTTGACCAAAACTTGTACAAATGTTGTTTCCTATTTTATGGTAAGATGTGGTCTGTCTGATTGGTATATAAACCCCGTATGCTTGAAATAAATGATTTGTATTGCAGAGGCTGAGATTGGTGTTCTCGACTTAACTGGCTGGGCTAGGCAGGAAGAAGGACCGATAAATACTCTAGACTGCTCATACGGGTTTACGCGTCATTGGTCCGATAGATAATTCACTGCTCTCTAATTGGCGGTATCGTTACATTATACATTAACAGGGCATACAGGTCACAAGTAATAACACTACATGAACAAATCTAATTCATTCTTTTCAAATATTATGCCTAATCGATTCTACAACTAATCTAGCATTTCTCGTGACAATTTTATCTTACTATGCTAGTAAGTGTCTGAAGTTCATTGAAATGATTCCAACACCAGTGGATATGAGATGAGTAGAAAATTACTTTCACTAAATATACATTAACTGAATCTATCATATTGAATTAGGCCTATTAAAAATATCTTTTAAGTAAGCTTTACACGCAAACTAACACAATGTCGACCGCATCAGCTATGAAGTAAGTAATCCTCGAAGACAATCGGAGATGGCCGCGCAACATCGTGAATTCACTGAAGTTGGGTGTATACACTTTTGGATGCCAGGTAGGTGGTCTAGAGGTTAAGAGCAAGACAGAATGTAGCGTCCAATTCCCAGTTGCGCGCTCTTGGATCAACACTAAAGAGAAGTCACAGTGCTAAGAGTAAACAGCTGTTCCGATGATGATCTAAATGAGATCAGTTTATGATTTAAATAAAACGTGTTACATATATTCAGGAGAAAAACAAGTAAACATGGATGGTTGGATGAAGTGAAACAGAACACACACGTATACACAATCAAAGTAACTCACCTTAACTTTATGCAAATCAACACCATACAAGGCCAATTTACGGGCATTATTTAGAAATAAACGATCAGCCTCTTCAGGTGTTTTACCACTAGATAGAGAGAACAAAAAAGAAAGAATGACATGAAAAGTAAGCAGTATTATTTTATGGTGGATAAGGAGTCTAAGAAGTGTAATTTGAGTTTGCATATGATTTACATAACATATGCGTACAGATATAAGTAGTATGTAGCAGGAATTAGAATATTTACCATTAGTAAAGCGAAATAAAAAGAGGAAGGAGAACGAAGAGGAATCGGAATAACAACGGTATCGGAAAAATTATGAAGTATGCAAAAGGCAAGTAAAGCAAGATATGTAAATGACGTATTTAGTGTATGATTTACATATTTTACAAAGCTACCGTATGATTTTGCAAAAATAATAAATTGGTTTACTGTCTATAAGTTTGCGTCCACAACGTAGAAGTAACGATTGGCGATAGTTGACATAAAAAAGATTAAACAATTCGACTACGAATAAATCTGTCTAGAAATTGAAGAATTACACAAAATTATACTATCTTGCAGCATACATTAAAAAAAGATTACAGGAAACTTCTAATTAATCTAACATCTAAAATACCTGTTGTAGTGGCTTGGCTTCGATTACTAATCACTCTGATGACCGTTATCAGATTAATTCCGACGGTGTACGAATTCAGAAGGCAATACGATGCGGCGACTACACTTTGTTGGATAGCACAGATAACAAAGTTACAAGCATACCAAGAGTATCTGAGCAGAGAGGTTAATGAGAGTGAGCAAACGAATACAGAGGTGGATTTAGAGTCAAATCGAATCGAGACGATGCAAAGCAAGGCAAAAGCAATTAGAAAGATTCAAGCACATATATGTATGGGGGAGCGAATAATTCATCGAGCGACCATTAAGTGAGTAACATTTAAGTTAGTGTGAGGAATATTTGCGCAGGCAGTCACATGTGATCATAACACACGTGTGTGCAGACATGATAGTGATCATAATAATACAAAGAAATAGACAAATTGTTACTGTTCGGATAACACTGTCTGTAAAATAAGTTAATAAAAGGGTTTGACAAAATTAATTGTATTGTATGGTATGGCAACTTGAAATGAGGAACGTACGTACGTACGAAGTCTTACGTTGTTATTGACTGACTGAATTTATTAGGACGTAGTGTTAACTAGGTATCACATAAATAATATGACACCCTTTAATGTGAATAGAACGTGGTGACAGTATGGTAAAAGAGTAACAGGGAGAGAGAAATCATGCTAACAAAATATATCAATAAAAAAATATTACATCATTTCTTATTGACTGAAAATATCTTAATGCTAATTAAATTGTACGGAGTATTCGAGTTTTATGAAGCATTTATTGTATTTTCGGTCTTAAAAAAATAACCCTTTGTTTATCTAACGTCCATGAACAGGTAGGCTGCATATATACAGGGAACCAGAATTCTAACACTAAGCTGGTTTTAAATGATGACAGCTATATAATGTTAGCATTTAATGAATGTCGCAAAAATGATAAGGCGGTGAAGCAAGCAAGAAATAATATTCAGACAAATATCTGATGTAATTTTAGCAAAGATGTGTTTTTGTTACACGTAGTGTACATCCCACACGAAATCTCATACCAAAAAAAGTATATATAACTTACCGATGAAGTTTGTGTAGTTCAACAATTCGTCCTAACATTTCAGGTGTTTGAAGCATATGAGGAGCAAATGGATGATCTTGTATATATTTTATACCAATATGTTGAGTCGGATCATGGTCGCCAGCTTCTGACTGAACTATATACGACCCAAGAATGCAGTAAGTTACAAATGAACATGGAAGCCTAAATAAGACGAAAGTGTAAACAAGTTTCAATTACTGGTACACACATTTAAATATATATAGTTCGGAAAACATTTTCTTAACAGAATAAACTCATTATTTTGAGGATATCACAGAGAGAACCTTGTCAGACAAACTACTAAACGATTTTTTGGGAATTTATGGAAAATATAATACTCTTCGAAAAAAGAATATTGGACTAACTAACAATTAAATTAAATGAACTCCTTAATTGAGTACTTAATTATGGGTCACATACTCTAATTGTGGGTGGCGATAAAACTACCCGGTTTCCTGTAACGAAGTTCGGGGAAAAGTGTTCAAACTTGGGACGTAGTGGGTCGAACGCTTTCATGACTAAGCTATCGACAAAAAGTTCAAGATAATATAAATTGATAACAGTAAACATGAGTAGACAATCCGATAAGCAAATATATAACAAATCAAAGTGATATTTTTCTAAATAAACATTTCACTCTGTTGGTTTGAAAATACTGAAGTGAAAATGAAATTATACAGATAAATAGAAACTCTCCAGCGATTCACATGCACAACCAACAGCAGGTCGGGTACATTACCTTAGGTTTCGTAGCATACGCTTAACCTGTGGACCACTCAGACGGCATTTGGAGATCGATCTCCGGTTTGTCCATGAGTGCGCACCGCTGAGGAGTCTCGTGTTAGGACGAAACATCTGTCCGATGCTTCCTAGTCTTTAATGGTCATTTGACTAGGATTATCCCGTGATGTAAATGATGGAAATTTAACAATCTCCGACATAAATCTTATACCAAAAACAAAAAGGATGTTAAGAACTAATGTAGAAGCATACAGGGAAATAAAAAATAATAAATGACAGATAAGATTGATAAGCTTTTTATCTCAAATACAAAAAAACAGGAACCGTAATTCCGATCTAAAAAATTAAAATTTAAGTATAACGAAAACGGATTGATTATTTAAGTTAAGTTAAAGCCGTATTTGTTGTCGTAATGTTATTTTAGTTATAAAAATTTTCATTGCCCTTCGTCTGCAAAAATGTCCGTTTATTTCACCGTTTTCTATCATTCTTAAAATAATCAGTGTCCGCAGAGAAAAGTACTGGATTGGGAGACTTATGTACATCTGGCTGATGAGCTGCAAAGAGGACGAAACGCACCTTAAATTCCTCAGCTAGCAACGTTCCAGTGATTTTATAAGATTTGCTCATTTATTCAAACACTAACGACAGCAGATGAGTAAATATGTCAGTCAGTCAGTCAGCTACAACGTAGGACCAGGCACATGTATGCATCGGCCCAGGTTGCCATACCTCATTAGCACAGCAAGATGAACACTGGATTCATAGGAGTGGTTAGGTCAAAGGTGGTAATATATAGGAGAAAGATTGCAATAAGGATATAGTATAGGAAGAAAGAATTAGTTCGTAGAAAGAAAGATGTGAAGTGATCTTAATCTCTTAGTTTAAGAGAAGACAGAGAGTGTATACACCGACGCCATTGTGATCGATTCTGAGCCATGTCACCAAGGGTCTCCAACCATTGGTTACGAAAGTCACGCGGACCCCAACCAAGTAGTCTGCATCTACCAACATGGCTCAGACTAGAAGTTAGTGACTTCAGGCACTGATGCCACGTTTTGGTTTGGCCGCCCCTAACTTTCTTCCAACCATCCCCTACACCGGTTAGCATTGCACGTCGCGGTAATCGGTGTTCAGGCATACGTAATACGTGGCCCAACCATCTCAGTCGATGAAGATTCATAACCTCATCAACTGATTTACCATCATTCCCTAATACCCTGCGTCTAACCTCACTATTACTTACCCGGTGATCCCAGCAGATGCCAGCAATATTTCTAAGGCATCTGTGGTCAAATACTAGTAGCTTACGGGTGTCTTCTACTCTTAAGGGCCATGTTTCGCTGCCGTAAATTAAAACAGAACGGACAGCCGCGCAGTATACTCGTCCTTTTATTGATAGACGGATATCTCGCCTCCGCCAAAGGTGACGTAAGTTGGCAAAAGCCAAACGAGCTTTACGAATCCGTGCTGAGATTTCGTCAGACACCAACCCATTAGGGCTGATCAGACTTCCAAGATAAGTGAAGTTGTCAACACGTTCGACTACTTCACTCCCTATCCTTAGTTCAGGTGTTGACGCAGACCAGTCCTGAAGCAACAACTTGCATTTAGAGGGAGAGAAGCGCATCCCAAACATTCTGGCATTGTTGCTTAGTGCTACCAGAAGACTCTGCATTTTGTCAGCGTCTTCACCAAACAGGACTATGTCATCTGCATATTCTAAGTCGATAAGTGGACCTCCTGGAAGGAGATCAATACCCGAGAATTCAGTCGACGAGAGTGTTATTTCCATCAATAGGTCTATGATGAAGTTAAACAAAAATGGAGAAAGTGGGCAGCCTTGACGGACACCACTTGAGGTTGTAAAGGTAGATGACAGTTCGCCATAAGCCCTGACTCGACTAGTAGTGTTCGAGTAAAGAGCCTTCACAAGGTTTATGTACTTCTGAGGTACGCCTTTCAATGACAGACACTGCCACAGAGTCTCGCGGTCTACAGAGTCAAATGCTGCTTTTAAGTCAAGAAAGACCACCATCGTCGGACGCCGATAGGTATGCCTGTGTTCTAGAACCTGACGAATGGTGAATATGTGGTCGATGCAGCCACGACCAGGTCTAAAGCCAGCTTGGTTCTCTCGTGTTTGTAGTTCACGAGTCTTAGTTAGGCGTTTGATAATTATCGAGGCCAGTATTTTAGATACTATGTTTGTTAAACTAATCCCTCTGTGGTTGTCACAGGATGATTTTGACCCTTTCTTATATATTGGGACGATAAGTGATTGCGACCAGTCAGATGGGATAACGTCTAACTCCCAGATTTTAGCCAAAATATTAGTCAACCTAGTCGCTAAAATTGGACCACCATCCTTAAAGACTTCTGCAGCGCATCCCAAACATTCTGGCATTGTTGCTTAGTGCTACCAGAAGACTCTGCATTTTGTCAGCGTCTTCACCAAACAGGACTATGTCATCTGCATATTCTAAGTCGATAAGTGGACCTCCTGGAAGGAGATCAATACCCGAGAATTCAGTCGACGAGAGTGTTGCTTTTAGTCTTACCGCTCTTCAACCGACCTGTCTGACATGGTAGGACCTTGAGGAACGGTTGTTCCAGCCAGTATAGCTCGGTTGCTTCATCACGATAGGCAAGCCCGACCACCACGTCAAGGTAGCAACAACGGTCGGGTGAGTAAATATGTACGTATATACCGTTTAACAAACTCTGCAAAAATCCCATGACAACTATGTATATACAAAAATGACGAGTACCAATAAGCCCGTATGTTCCTGTCTAAAGTTTATAACAAAATTCTAACCGATATCAAACGTTTCGTCATTGAGATATGACAGACAACTAAACCAGCAAAAATTGTCTAAGACACCAACACATTTGTAAGTTCAGGCTTCTCTGAGAAGGCAAATAATAACAATGTTTTTGATCAAGTGATAGAGAATTATCTTAGCTGTTTGGCCAAGGATCTTGGTTGTTCCAGTTATTTTCAGCAACGATACACCAAACAGTCATACAGTGTCAAGTTATATGTGTCACGCTTACCTCGACAATAGTTATTTATTGCTGTTGGAGTAGGTTGTAGAAAAGTTAGGAACGGGTAAAGCAATATATGGTTTTACTTCATGAAACAATTGAATGTTTGTCAGGGCCATGTAGGTAGATGCAAACTGCCTAGTTGTTATAGTACACAAGATGATTGCGATTACTGGTTAGGGATAGTGGCTGACGTCAATCAGGATTATTTAAAATGGAGCAGATGCATACACTACTTGTCAGTTATCTTGACCGTGAAATCCAGTATTCTTTCATAAATACCTTTTCAGTGTCTTTTCGAAACGTGGTCTAATGCTTAGTCTTTAAAGGTTTCATTGCCAGTAAATTATTTGTCTATTTCACTGTATATATTGATAAGTTCATTTTGCCGTGCCAATGAGATATGATAATTTGGGCCGGTGAATATTTCTGACGATCTACAACGATAAGTGACTGAGTGAAGTTGAATATATGTAGGAATGTACAGTGACAGTTTGGAGAGAAGATAGCATCCGTTCAGCCCATCACTATATGACACAAAAACTATTAAAAAATAAGTTTACTTAGACAAAACCGATATATGAGATATGAGTGATAATTCTTCATATAAAAACGAAACTACAGAGTGGTACACAACAAACATTCCATTCAATGAAAATAACCATAAATTAAATAAGTTTTAACAACAGAAATAATTTCTGTTTGTAAACAAACAAAGAACGCAAACGTGAGAATTCCAACGACAAAATAAGAAAGAACTTTCAACTAATTTTGAAAATGTCTTTTCATGAAAAAGAGAGTAAGGTGTTTTTCTTCTAAGAATTTCATAAAAACGATGGAAAAAGCCTTTAATTTACTTGAAACAAAATATTTCCTCCAGAAAAGTGAAAATATGTGTAGACGAAAAAAAGGTTTATAAAGGACACTAACAGCATATCACTTTCAGGAGAGTGCATCAGTGTTCTTATAACTGAGTTGCACAAGATCAATCTATGCTATTTAGATATATCTGGTGAATGTCTAGTTCGCATGAAGACCAGTATGACGATAACTTACATATTTTGGTAGTGTACAAATAATTGTCAATACAGAGCAGTGGCATAACAGTTCAACGATTAAGCCACCCCAAAGGTCATCCGGTTAAAAGGCAGCTGGTTAGTATATATATCCTTTAAAAAAAGGATCTCAACGCTGAGAATGCCATTATGCACTTGGTAAATTAGTTAATTTTTCTAATAATTAACAATTGGAGTGCAAATAGCTAACCAAGAAATGTTGATGCACTTAAACAATTTGCATCACGAATTTGAATTAAGACCATTGATACTATACAGTTGCTCAAATTGAAATGAGTGAATAGTGGTTCCAACTTGCTACTCATCGTCATCTGAATTCAAATGTTTTAGTAACCTAATGAGGTATCGTTTCACTACATGTAAGCTAAAGAGATAAGATGAATGTCAGTCTGGGAGTTGTGGAGATAGTTGGATTACATTCAAATCATGAACCGATCTAAGCTCAATATTCTAGAGTTTAAGCGATTAGGAGTGAGACCGAGTGCGAATTCGTGGATGCTCACTGCTGAGTCTCATAATAGGACGAAACAGTTGTCCAATGCTCCCAGGTTTTCGACAGTGGTCTAACATATATCGATCTGTACTTATATGGAAGAGTAAAGATTTCACAAATAATCTCTAGTCATTGAGTAATCCTCAGAAGATTGAAAGAAAGCTATTAATTTGTTTTATTCTGGTCAAGTAAAAATGAGTTTACTTTGCGTGTATTTGACTTTTGTCAAACACCAAACAATATGTACATCACTATCTAATAATTCCATGGATTAACTGAGTCATTGAGCAACTTACTTGAACATTCGCTAATTTAGTCAAACTTGGTTCGAACTTCATTAAACAGAGTGGAGTCGAGTCGTATAAACTGTTCGAAATTTTCCTTTGAAAAGAACTTATAACTCTCATTCATACTGCATAGTAGACGAAAATGGTCAGTCAGTCCATAAGTTATATATAGACTTGAACAGTCAGTCAGCTACAATGTAGGACCAGGCACATATATGCATCGGTCCAGGTTGCCATACCTCATCAGCACAGCAAGATGAACAAATGTATATTAAAGTTGATACATATCAGAGCAACAAGATGGAAATATCAAGACATATACCGTTGTATTAGAAGTAATAACGATATTAGTGGAAGTTGAAGGGACTAGGCATAGATAATTCAGCTCGACAAACAAAAAATCCGCAGAAGAAAAAAGTATACGATAAACTAGAACAACACATATAAGCGAACAACTGCTTTCAATTAGATCGTCATCAGGCTTTACTCTAATATACATGAATATTTATACGAAAATGTAAACCAATCAAGGCAATATGGGTCAATAATTTTAAAACTCAAGATCCAAGTGAAGAGTGAATATGCCAAAATCCGCGTATAGATATCAATAAGCCATAACGCTAACGCTAGGACCTCACATTTCTCTATAACATAATCAACCACATAACAAATGTAGCAAATATTGACTAATGAGAGAGTTAGATCTTTTATTATCCAACCCAGCAACCCTGATTGCTTAGTATTTTTTAGACACTTTACTAAATAAGTACCCAAAATCAGAACATGGTTTGAACGGGTAATTAATTATATCCCAGGTTACACAAGTTGAATGGGACTGAAGCGCAATAGGAAAAACGTTGGTACATTATAAATTTATAGGAGAAGATTCTAGAGTCTTCAATTAATCGCTGGTGCTGATTGGTTAAGAATAGGTTAAACAGCGTGCTCCAACATAATCTCGCATGGAACATACTTTAATCCAAGCTATTTCCTACCAAAAGAAAGTGATTTATAAATAGTTGTACACTTCATTAACAACTTCATTTAAGGTATTTTGAAATTAAGGAAATGTCCTACAATATTTACAATTCCAAAAATTTAAATAGAGACATGAGTTTGCATCTTTAATTTTATGACTGAACACGTATTTTTTGAGGACTCTTTAATTATTATTTGTGAGAAAATGTGAATCAAAAAAGGGAAAAGGTTAGTCCAGTTAAATGCAATAATTGAAAATTGATTAAATCCGTCATTCACAATGTGGAAACTGGCACATATGTACATCGGTTGAAGTCGCCATACCCTATTAGCTTAGATATTCATAGCTGTGCCAGCTACAATATTCGCATATGATAATAATAATACCCAAACGAATAAACACATTATCACTTTACTTACTGTCCACTAACTATATCCTGCCGTACTTGTAAACAAAGATAGTAACGTGTTATATCTTCTTTGATTGAGTCGATATCACATGGATAGAATTTAACTTGAAATTCAAACTGCCATTCATTTTCTATATAATGACAGAATTATGATAATATAATATAAGCCAATTGACAATAATTCATTTATATAGAAATTTAAATATATCAGAACAACACAAATAATTTCATGTTTATCGGTGCAAGTCACTACTAGAGGATCAACAGAAGAGGGACTAACAAAGTATTTATAATGTAAAAGACGACGATGGAAAACAATGATTCCAGCCATTGTGGGTGGTTTTAACTAATGTCTCACTAGAAATCTTATAAAATCATTAGGACTAAGTTATAACAAAAATTGAACGAGTTTAAAATGATAAAACTCTTGAAACCTTCCTCCTATTTGATTAGTGTGGATCGGTGTGACAAACAGAGTAGAATATACCCTAGTCTATGGTTATCAAAGCCAACAGTTTAGAAAAGCAATCTCGACAAATAATTATTTAACAAATATTATTTAACTAATAAAACTAACATTATTTTATGTTGGACAGTAAAGTAATTGATAATAATAGTAACAATAATAATATTATTATTGGTGTTGATTTATCGAAGGAAACAATTGTTTTAGAGCTATATATTTATCATTATACACATTTACTTTACAGGTGAAATAGTTCAAGGCATATGTTCTAGCAATTAACTATATATTTTCCTAATTAATTTAACACTTTATCATCTCTTTTATAACATCGGTTTTTTATCAACATTGGAAGCGATTGAGAGCTTATTGAACAATAAAAAGATCTGCGGTCGGTGGTAATAACAACATTAACCAACAACACCATGATCATTTTCTTTATCTACAGATTTATGTTCACTAGATATCATCTGTTCGCTAGCCAAGAAAGACCAAATAATATATCAGACAATTCGGTTATTATCATTTATTAAATCATAGTTTCTTTCAACCAGTTAGTACATAAATTATTAGCGAAAAATAATAACCACTATTCCTAAAGACTTTGTGCTTCATTCGACCGTGAAACTGGGTTAAGGAAATAGTTCTGCACTTTATTCTATGAGGAGAATTTTTATATTACCGGCATTGTCTAAGAGTATGTATACAATATTGCGAATAAATCTCCGTTCTTTAAGAGATAAGTTGAGGCCCGAAGAGATCAGTGGTAAAGTCTCTGTCTATGAAGCTTGGTGACATATGATCGAATCCGCCACGGAGCACCAGTTCTTCCAGGATTACAGGTATATCTTGATGATAAGTCCCAAATGACACGAAGCCTAAGTCCAGAATCTCCTGGCGACTGTCTCCAACCTCCTTACACATGAACATAGCGCACGTGATGTAGAGTTATTTATGACTAGTGACCACATTTCAACTTGAGCGATAAAATCTGATTAGAACTAAGAACTTGACATATATGACGTTGGTCACTACTCGGTGATTAATCAACTATAAACATATTTCAGTCCTACAGAAGATCAGTTGTGACCAGATAGCTCAGTGGTAATGTCTCAGACTGTGAAACAAATATTCAAACAGCACAATTATCATTGCCCTCAAGATTATATGTGCACCTTGCTAATAGTAAGTGGCGACTAGTATGAAACAGGTTCATAGATTTCTATCAACTAATTAAAAATGCTTAACATGGGACAACAGAATATGAAGATAAATTGATTAAAGTACATTAAAATACGAAACAGAAATAAGAAAATAAAATTATTTTTTTGAATACTACTCCAGTATAGAGACAGTAGTGTATATGCTCAGTTGATATGTCAGGAAAATAGAATGGTGGTAACCTACACGAATGAATAAACAAAGTTTAAAATACAACCATTTCAGATATGTTTAATTGTAGAAGAGAACTAATGAGATGAGTTGTTTATGATGAATAATTCATATATTTTTTGTAGATAACTTTTCGACATCAAACTGACAACACTTGAGGTAACAGTAAAAGAAATTAAATACCGTCGGACATGTTTCGCCCATGTATGAGACACGTTAGCAGTGTGATAACGACCCCGCTATAGTACACTTAACTGACACCAATTGGTAACGAAAAGTAATCCCCACAGAACCTCTTCAAAAGATGACGGCAATATTGACAAAATATATGGTAACTTACTACCGATTTGTTTTACAATTTTCTGATCAGTTTGGAGCCAGAACTAGATAATCACAATTAAAAAAATAGAAGAATAAAAATGATGAGATGATAGTCGTGAAAAGATAGGAGTTAATTAAGCAATGGTTAAAAAACGAAGGTTCGTAAATGGCTGCACCCATCATGCACAAGGTTGATTGTTAAACAGAGCTCTAAATTAAAAACGGTCATCCAGTTATTTCAGGTTTTCAATGATTGTGTAACTTAGATCGGTTCGTGATTTCAACGAAATCGATCTGATCGCGATATCATCTCATGTCGAATAAAAATACCCTATAATATACCTAAGTTTCGTGTTATAAATTACTACTTATACATTTGATAACCTATCATAAGCACCTACAGGGAATCAGTTTTTCGTGTTAAATAAATTCACTTGTTTTAAGAAAAACTTAAATGGTTTTTTAAGCTAATGACCAAAGAGCATTTTCTGGTGTTGACTGATAGATCTACTTCGGAGAAAGGCTTTCCTTTATGTTCTATCTAATTTAGACACAAAACGGTTTATTTAGGTGACTTTTGGATAATATAACGACGCAGAACTGAACTGCGTGACACTCAGCAAGCTGGGATTCACTTGATTACTTCTTTGTAAATTTAAGATTAGATATCAATTTCCAATACTTCATTGTTCGAATTCACGTCAATGTTTTCTTGAGCTGTTATACACGTACAAATTTTCATTTTAATTAATATTAATCCCTCTTTTTTAATCTTGTGTTGAAAGGGGGAACTTTGATCGCTCTATCCAATATTACTCGTGAAAGTTTCTACAGTGATAAGGCTTGATTGATTGACTATCTATCCCTTTAATGAAAGAATTATTTATTTGGATGAGTTCTACGAGGGTTAGCATCATCCAATGGAGGTGTGTTGGGAAGTTATATTTGAAGTGTTAATTAGTATTTTACTCTCAGAACTTGGCAATATACGCACTGCATTGTAAAAATATATTGTAGAAAATCAAGCAACTGCTTTCTGCAAACGATTTTATTAACCATATATATATATATATATATATATATATATATACTGGTAAACTGTGTTCACCATGTAAAAACGTGTTCTTATTTTCAATTCACCTTGTAGTTTAATCAATGACAAGATGATGCACTCAACAAACATAATCAACTCAAATACAAAATACATACAGGGCATAAAATTTTTGCAATTTATTGCATCTCAATTTTAGCTTTTTTCACAAACCAAAAGTCTTCAGGTATATGATTTTAAAATAAGTGATCATATAACTACTGTGTATGTACGTATAGAATTTATAAGACGACTAAATTTGTTGGGTTTTTTGTTCACTGAGTTCATACAAATATGCTGTTTAACTGCTGAATAAGAGTGATTTTGAATTATGCTAAAGTATTGTTTCTAGTTCAAAGACAGGAGAACGTAGTATGATTACTTGACTTTTTTTCTATCTCCCTCATACCTATGATAATTGCAAATAATCTTTGGAGTGGTTTGTGTACTCTAAACTTCCAGTCAACAAGTCAAATCAGAAATGATGAATTAAGTTGTATAAACTGTTAAGTGTTTTCAAAAACTTCATCTTGGGTTGTAAATTAGGGATTGGCGTAGTTCTGTCACTAGTTTTTAAGTAACACTTCGCAGTAAAATAAATAAATAATGACGTGTTATCATGGAACCACTTTAGAATGCACTTTTTAACGGTCTCCCTAAATAGATCTGTTATGTTCCCAAAATCAAAGTCGATGATAAGGTTACAGGAGTAGTAAAACGTTAAGTCTGACAGCAATAACGTGACAAGTACAAGTAAAAATAGGTTAAGCGGATGGTCATGACAAATGTTACATGATATGTCTAATGTAGATGGGTTCCCCATGGCATTTTGTCTAGCGATGAGCGTTCAATGAATTGATGTATTTCCTTAATAAATCTTCCTATAACAGACACTGATTTTACGCAGGAGATAAGAGACTGAAATCTTCAACATTTAGTTTGGAGACCAGTTTCATGAGAATAGAGATGTCATTCTATAAAGTTAAATCAATAGCATTGGTTGCAAAGGAGAAGGATGAGGTTAGTGAAAACATGTTGATAAAAATAAAACAAAATTTCAGAAGCAAGGGAAGGAGATTTATGGTATACAGGAGATTTGTTGGATGTGTAGGTAATCCAAAATTCTAGGAAAATAAAGCTAAATAACTGTGATGACTTCATGAGCACTGGAGCTTGATTAAAGAACTTAAGGAACTGACAGGCCAACCTATACATGTTTTTTGTCAAGATTTAATTCCGGTTTTATGGTATCAAAAAAGCATTTAGACAATCAAATACATTATTTGCGAACAAGTCTATGAAACAAGCTCATTACCATACTACCCAAATGGTCAGACCTAACATGGTGAAGGGAAATTTGAACCTGTGAATAACTGAATGTGAATTAGATGCTTAAAACCACTGAGAGTCACCTCTACAATGTCGAACATTAGTAACTTAAAGATTTTGACGCAATAGTAAGTAGAACAACTAGATGAATATTTAGAGAAACACTCACCCAATTATTGGTTGAATCGTAATATGTGATGCCAAAGAATTCAACCTCTAATAAACCAAGATGTGTACAAACAGCATCGAATAATTGTTGTCCATAGGCAGCTTTCTAAAACCAGAAAAATGTTGACGAGTATTTCAGGAAGATGGATAGTGAACACGAATTTAGTTAATGTACAGTTATTCACATATACATACTTATATATATTATTCACCTTAACTATAAAAAACAAGTGTTTTAAGTTATGAATAACTAGTCCACAATTTTAATAAGTTATGCTTTATTAATGTATTTTACGATTTTCAAAGAATATAAGGAAATTGTATAGGCTTAATTCACTTTAATGTTATGACCTGCTATATGTTTAAAGATGTAGATTTGTTATCATTTATTGAGCTAAGGCAAGAAAACTAAACGAACATTAGTTTATTCACACTATAACAGGCTAAACTATTTGCTTGTAATTTCGATCCCAAGATTATCCTAATCCGAGGCTTGTGTTATTGAGGATAATTGTCTATTGCTTTCCTTATTAAAATGTAGGTGTATTCTGTGTGCTTACTGGATCGTTGGACCACTTCCTCTTTTCCAGCTCTCCTTATTCACGATACACCGTATGGTCCGCTAGTACACAAAGTACCTTCTGGCTAAATGAGAACCACTACAACATAAAACATCAGTGTAGTTACATCAAAAGCAAAATATGATGCAAATTAGTAATTTGTTTTTTGAGATAATTATTTCAAGACTTTAAGTGGTGTCGTAAGACTAGGAAAACGGGAGCAGTTTAATTTTAGGGTTTAACAGACACAATCATTTAAGATTCGAGTAGGTTTTGTTCAAAATTATTCGTAAAAAGAAAAGATGATTCTGAATTTTTCTGAAAAACATTTTAACAATGTGTAGGAACTAAACCGTTCTATATGTGTGATGTTATTCACGAAGATTTATGTTTTTTGATGGGCAATACGAATACGTTTTTGTTTGTTAGAAACAGACATGTAACGACGACTTTAGCCGAAAAATAAAAAAAAACTCATAGTATTTACAGCTTCATTTTTATTCGCTCATCATCTTTCATGACTTAAGGTGTATAATCAGTCAGTTATATGCAACGCAGAACCAGGAACATTACATATTACTGGCTGAAATACTATTAACCATCAGCTATTCATAGTTACTCTCCCATATGACAAATTTACTTATACAGAATGTTAAATAAACCTAGTCACATTGTCAGGTATCGCGTTGTGGGGAACGTTTTAATTTAACCTGTGCGTGAAGAACAATTGTCACTGTGAATTTAATCGTTGCTTCCGAAAGGTTGCTCAAATCTGATGGGAATACTATGTTAGCAATTCTGAGATACAGTAGTATGTTCAAGCATAATTTCAATTATTCAATTTGGTGTCATCATGTTCGGTGGTTTGTACATATTTTACAAATGTTTCCGCAGCAGCTTCACCCTGTACATTATTTTCAAACGCTAGGATTGTATGTAAGAAGAGGTGGTCAGTTTATGAAATGGGGTAGTGGTATGAAAAATAACTGTGTAGGATCGGCCGGTTCATCATGCCTTCTAGCTTGGAGTCCTAAATACCGTGCAACTCTGTCTTGAAACGCTACCAGACAAACTTTGGAAAAAATCCAGTGGCACTCTTGCCATAGTTTCCCATCACTTTCTTCATTAAGTTGCACTACCTTAGACGTATGACATTCTCCTTGGCTATATTGCTAACTGAACCGCGTCTGTATTTAAATACTATTCTCGTTTATTTATTTATGGGCTCTATGACCCCTCCCTCTTCTCTTCACAATCACCACTACATTTATATGTATTCTTTGGTGACCTAAAAAGGGGATATTTAGCAGTATAAAAATATCATTAATATAAAACACCTCTAGCTTTCAAACTTAATATCTGATATATTTGAGGAAAACTAGTAAGAATATCATAAAATTTCGGAATTGACAGTACACAAGAATATAACATGCGCTACATCTCAGTATGGAAACTTTAAGTTGATTATTCTTAAAACTATTAACACAACATAAATTTAGACAAACAGTTAAAAAGCACTTGGGACATTCTTACTGACAGTTTGAAATGGGAACAGTAGTCCGTAGAAGCAATAACTCAGTACAAGTATTAATTCGATGAAAGAAAAAAGTATGAATGAACTATATTAACTGCAACTTACATCTAAACGAAACTCTCTTGTTGTACCATCCAGCATTACAACCGTACAATCTACTATTTTACCAGAAGGTTTAAAATCAACAACCGATGGGTGTGATGATCCACGTAGAGTACCACCACCTGGGCGCGGTAAGGGTGAGTTACCACCTAGTAAACCAGATGATCCATTGGCTAATCCAGCAGCTGAACCACTGGAAATACTTCCCAACCTGTGTGCAGTTCCAGAATTAGGACCAGTGCTGTTGAACCTCCGAAGACTCATGTAGTATTCTTTCTTAGGCAATCGGTCGGTTATCTCAATAGTCCCATCTTGCAGCTGGCTCCAACTATGACCTTCGAGATGCAAAAGGTTAGTGGATTCTCCAACTGTTTCGTTGTCTGATAAAAAAGTGCTCATTGCTGGCGGTTCCATAGAATAACTCATACCAAAAAGGAAGGGGATGAGTGTGAGCTGGAACAAAAATCAATCACGAGCCGTCAGAAACACTGCATTTCAAAAAATAGTCCTTACACTATAAAGGGTCATTGAGATAAATTATAGATAACTGAACAATGAATACCCAAAAGATATAGCACCACAAAAGACTTATAGGATATAAATGATGTTTTGCACATTTGAAGTTCCCCAACACTTTAAAAGGATTCCGAAAAACGTAAAATAATTGTTGTTGTGATCTTATGAACTTGAAGCTGCGTTAAAATTGTGTATCACTCAGACACCTTTATGTTTACAAAAATGTATGACAGTGGAAACCATTTACAGGAGTGGTCACATAAATTCATCTACGAAATCATGAAAAACGATAGTGGTAATCTAACTAAGCGCAGAGAAGTGAAATTCAGTATCTCAAATTAAACTAATGAGCTATATTCACACACTGAATACAAATACATGGTTTCTTTTTTAATGACACCTGTTTATGGTTTTGGAGCAACCAACACACCATTTGAGCTAACAGATGCGTATGAGTTTACTGATAACTTATGTGATTATATCCCTCATATCATAATACAGAAAATGAGCTGTACAATAAGACTAGTCTTAACATGTAAGATGTAGATAAAATGATAGAAATGTACGTAAATACAGCACAAAAAATCTTTGGATCCGGTGTTTATCTTATGAGCAACAGAAAACGGTAAAAATCACTCATAGTAAAAGATTTAGACGCGATTCCAGTGACCGACCGAGAGTGGGGAGAGTCCGCTCTCCCTCTCGAAATGTTCTCACATGGTCACGCGTATATAGCCACTGCCAAGGAAGTCCTACTCACTGCCTTCTCGTGGCAGGGGTGTTGTTTACGAAATTTAGAGGACCAAAAGCGAATGTCCGGCAATTTAACCGGGTTGGTGGACATGGAGTCCACCTAGGGGAGTTGGAAAAAAACCCTCATTCCAAACCAATGGTGCACATGGTCTCCAGTATCCTGAAGGGACAAATGGCGTATGAACCAATTGTTGGTCATCGGCCACCATGGGAATGTATCTCCTTACGATGCTCCACTGCCCTGTGGATCAGACCTTCAGGTCGAAGGCTCCGGGTGTGGCCCCCTAAGAAGGTCACCTGCTACGGTTTGGGCACCCGGGCAGTATCACATCCCTCACACATATCAAATGAGATCGGTGTGGAGCATATGTATTTGGTGCCTCCTTATACCAATGTGTTAGAATAATAAAAAAACAATAAATCGACAGAAACTAGTTAGAGGCATTATGATATCTGACCACGGACTTTATTGAAAAATTTCTTTTTTTAATTCATTCAGTTTAGCAAGTCTTGTAAGAGAATATGAGTGTTCTACACCAAGTATTGGTCAATTAATTTTTTCATAACTTCCATTCATACGAGTGACAAAAACCATTTACAAAAATATTTTTCTTAGCACTTGGTCTTCATATAATATCTTTCAGCAGACGGTTGGTGGAAGTTTTATTTGGTGATTTTGAGCATTAATGGTTAAAGCTAGGTATGAAGTAAACCGGAAGTATGATAACAATCATGTACTTTGAAAAAGAATAAGATACCCAACCCATTGCAGCATGTAAGATAGTCGGGGCTAATATAAAATGAACACAACTACATTATGAAATAATTTCAAACAAAAATGATCTGCAGCCCATGTTAAATCAAGCGAAATAAAAACAGAAGTTGAGTATAAAAAAAGGAAACTCCATAATCCAGAAATGAACCGGCTATAGTAACTGATTATCAAAAAGGAACTGCTGGCACACAATCGAAATGTTTAAATTGATTGTCCAAGTAACGAGAATGCCATACCCAATTGCGACATCATAACTAATTTCGAATCTTAACGTCAGAAACATGAATAAAGTTCGCTTTGGGCCAATATGAAAAATTCCTTACTTTCAAATATCTTAGAGATTAGAAACATCCTTAAGTGCATTGATTTTTGCATGTGTATTAACAAGTGATTAAAACACATAGAAGCATCACAAAAGGACCTCCATTGGTTACTGGGTACATCAGTCAGAATGCTATCTTATTGGAAGCAGAAAACATCATTTAACATAGGGTTGTCAGAAACAACTTTGATGAAGTTGTAAATTAGTACGAACGGAAATACCGGGTGGTAAATACTTCACGATGTGTGGACACGGTTTGCACCTAAATCTTTATAATTTCAAAAAGCTATGCTGATGAAGAGAAATACGCTGAGGCTGTGGTTGTTAAAGGCATAGTAGCACCCGCTAGTGAGTGGAAACAGTAACGCACAACGACTGCATGTACTAAGCACGGCATGCCATCTGAGTATGGTTAGATGTGAAATGGCTACCTGTCTATTAAGAAGAGGCCTTCTAGTTAAACTAAACCAGATGCGATTCCCATTTTTAGAAGACAAGCCACTAGATCAATATCTTTACCTATGATCAGCCGGTCAACTGTCCTAATATATACGACAGGGATGTGATCACTGGTTCAAACAAAATAGGTCAGATGGTGTGAACAGTCCCTGTCACTTTACAGATGCATCGAAATTTGCAAGACATATCACTTAAGATATTCTACGGTCGTTACAGTGATGAAAAATTTAAATCCATACAGCTATTGTAATTACAATAGCTGTAGGACTTTTTAAGCAACCCTCATATGAAACATTTTTGATCAAGAAGTCCATTGATAATCAAATTTGTGTTGGATATCAATAACTGATACAACAATACACAATATGACAAAGCCAAAAACAACCATATAACGTACAATCTACCCGAATATCCACCTACAAGAGTAAAGACGTAAAGCGCGCTTCGTCCGCTTATCTTTAAAGGCCAGAAGCTTTCGATAAACAATAGAGAAACATTATATATCTAGCTTAATCATTCTCATCAGTTTGCTTATAAAAGTGGTTATGCAGCATTAATATGCAGTATCGCATTATAATTACGTGAATAAAACTTCGCATTCGAAAGGTCGGCATGAACTTGAAACATTGCTGAGCAGAATAAATGACTACTTATTCGTTAATGCATTTCTGAGATATAAAAGATGGTCCTTGGTATTAAATATAATTGCCTTTGTTTTCATATTCATCGAAAACGGGGGAAGAAATTGCAGGTTTTTCATTATTAAAATCAAAGTTAAAGGGAAAAACTTGTTCAATACATACGATTCCAATATCGTTCTCAGACCTGTCTTCAAAGGAGGTATCAAAATGTGTCGTGGTAATTCGGTCAGGTAATGTATTTTGTAGATTCTAGATTTTCATTTTGAAAAAATAATCATGTATCTTGGAGAAAAACCTCGAAGTTTCTAGAGTGATATTTTGTACGCTATGGTGAACTGCGTTGCACTAGTCCCCATGTACTTCTGTGGTGCAGAGGTTGAGATACACAATTATCCTGGAAAATGTGGTTATATCGAGAAATACTGATTCACTAGTATAGAACAAATAACTTCTTTTTTACTCACATGCTCATGCTGAGAGTTATCGCCTTAATATGAAAGATAATGGAGATGTAGATCACTAACGTAAAATGAGTAGGGGCCTACTCTAGTTAGACGCGGATGGTGTGATCGGTTAGCTAACTTCGAAGTCACACCTCACGGTCAGCACCTTTGTGGATTAACCTTTCTTTTATCATGGTACTGTGAACGCAATGAAAACCTTATAACAGAAAGGACGTCATTACAGAAATATATTGGTAAAGTAGGTACAAGGAAGAGATTGCGAACACAACCACATAGGCCAGTCTATGGCGTACGATTAGTTGATGCGTGTTGGTCTTCCTTGAAGTTAACAAGGATCGGCGAACTTTATCGACAATCAGTGACTCCACCACTGAATGAATTAGGTAGGGTCCAGTGACATTTCACTGGCTCTACAGTGAAAATATAATAAGTAACTCCACAAAAAATGAGTTCAGCAGAGAACCTTTACAACTTTCAACCGCCCAAAATTAACTGCTGGTGCACGTTACCATTATCAGTCGAAATGCGCCATGCCATTCATTTTCAACGACTAATGTATAAACAAAGAGATACAAGCAGTAAATCCGACAGCTATTACTACCGTCATGACAACCTGTGAAGTTTATGGTGGACATTTATGGAAAAACCAATCCATCTCATCATGTCAACATATTGATGATGAATTATCGAGCTGAAAATTTATCTAATAACGCAGTTAATAATTAACTTATCTAAGCTAAACCACGATAATTTTCACCACAATAGACTGTTATCGGAAAGTGAGAATCGAGCATATGTAGCAAAAAAAGCTCACTAGTTTAAAGACTGATAAAAATGGCTTCTAAATCCCACCAACTACGAAAACCACAATGAACTCCCATTTGGTAGCAATCACGTCTTTAATAATGTAAAGTTACGCAACCATTATCTGATTCCACACACGCCTGATTTTTAATAGACTTTGTCTGACAATATATAGTGAGTTTTTTCTGAATTCGACTTAGTAGATACATATATCATAATATATGAAAAGCCGGTCTCCATTACATTTTTTGGCCTCTATGACTCCCCAAGAATGTAATTCGGACTGGAAAACGTCATTCGAAAATGTTAACATTTCACAAACGAGATTACTGAGAAACCATATTTGTTGAAGGTGTACGTACATGACGGGCAATCAACTAGCCATTGTCAAATCAACACATTTGAAATATGTGTAATGTCTACACTAACATTTAAGGTTTTGAGTGAGTAACCAGTCCATAAAATGCTTCTTTGGTGATTCTTCTTTTATTTCTGAAGGGACTTCATCGATTTTTGCCTCACCATTTAAATGCATGGAAACTCGAAACCATACTTGTCAATTCTGAGGCCGAATCAGTAAAAAAGTGACGTTGCATTATAGTATTTAATTGCTACTGTCACCTTCTACCTTACTGTATCGCCGTATAACCACCTCTAACTGATCTACATAACAACCAGATTTTTGTTTTTTTCATCAGGAAGATATCTGAAGTTTTAAAATAGCACCAACAGCATTACCAAGTACTACGATGCTGGAACGCTTGGAACCTTATCCGACAACTCAGCCCATCATATGTACCAACAAACCTTAACTCACGCAGCAGTAGATAAGCAGCAAAAATAAGTTCTTAATATGTTCCTCGGTAATAATGAACCCCGTTCAGGTGATATGGTGTATTTTGGCCCGAATTAGTAACATGTATATTTGCCAGATAATCTCATTCCATTTATTTGTTGTAGTTGAACGAAAATAATGAGGTTTAGAAACGTTATGTCTATCCAGTCTCCCAGGAACCCAAAGCACATTTTTGAATAATTGTAATAGAAATCAGTATTTTTATTCCACGAGCCTAAAATACAGGAAATAGCAACAACCGTAAACGAACGGTAAATAGCACAATGTCACCTATCGTTTTGCTCTGCACCTGGCAAAATGTTAATAACAAGAAACCACAGATTAATATATATGATCAAATAAAAGAGGACCAACTGACATTACACCTTCCTTGTTGGCACAATCATCCCCATTATTTATCAGATCTAGGCACCCGAAATACTATGAAGTTAAGAACAGCATTTCTGTATTTGTTGAGATCGAAATCCAGAAGGCAAGTATTCAACAGAACATGTTCAACTTAAACATTAGGGTTTCAACGTTTGACAAGTGTTTTCAAGAAGTCTATAGTAGTTATACTGATCACGGGAATAAGGCGTTGTACCACGGAGTGCTAATTTACATTACACGAGCATTAATTGTAAGATAATGTGAAAAATGCTGCTACCGAATTACCTGATTTAAGACCTCGATGATAATTTCGACATGAAAATAGATCAACAATTCCTGGAGGTTTGGCATCATAATCCGAAAAAAAGGGAAAATTATCTATCAAGTAAGAGTTGGGCAAGAGATATGGGTTCGACATGCAAACCAGATACAGCCAACCAGACAAAAGTGGGACACAGGAAGTGATATAAATCAAGATATACCACTAAACATATTACTTGAATCAGATAGTGAAATTAAAAAGGACACAGACAAGAAAACGTATACAACTCTCCCAAGGCGACTGAAGCGCACCAGACGTAATTCTAATCGAATAGAAATAAATCCCAAGGATCGTTATTATCCCTGGTGCTTCAAAAAGGGGATGTGTTATATCCTAGTGAAGATTAAATTACGGGTAACCCCTGAGATCTATTAATGGACTAATACTATATGTACATATATATATATATATTCCTATTGTATAACTGTTCAGAGACAAGATTATGTATATCTATATTTCTCTTGCTATGAGCTTCATTTTGACCCATAATTTATCATTATACGACTTACTGTTCTTAAATTATACTCAGTTTACTAATTACTGTCTCCCACCTTCACAGCCACGTTTTGGCCTGAAATTGTATAAATGTTATTTCCTAGTTTGGCTGGTATATAAACTAAGTACATCTAAATTAAACAATTCGCATAGCGGAAGCTATTATTGGTGTTCTGGAATCAACTGAACGATTACTTACTTAGTTGCGCCTGTTGCTCCTCATGAAGGAACATAGGCCGCTCACAAACATTCGCCATCCAACCTTGTCCTGGCCAATCCTTTCAAGCTCATTCCAGTTCCTATTCATCCTTTCCATATCTGCTTCTATTTCCCGACTTAATGTGTTCTTTGGCCTTCCTCTTTTCCGCCTTCCTTCAAGATTCCAAGCTAGGGCTTGTCTCGTGATGCAGTTTGACGATTTGCGTAGTGTCTCATCCATTTTCATCGTCTTTTCTTAATTTCTTCTTCAGCTGTAAGCTCGTTTGTTCTCTCCCACAAAAGGCTGTTGCTGATAGTATCCGACCTTCTTGATGAGGGTTGTTGTAGTTCTCCAAGTTTCAGCTCCGTACAGTAGAACCGCCTTGAGATTCGTATTGAAGATTCTCACTTTGATATTGGTTGAAAGTTGTTTTGAGTTCCATATGTTGTTCAACTGTAGGAATGCTGTTCTTGCTTTGCTAACCCTTGCCTTCACGTCTGTATCTGAACCTACCTGTTCATCGATGATGCTTCCTAGGTATGTGAAGGACTCTACATCTTCCAGAGTTTCGCCATCAAGAGTGATTGGATTGCTGTTCTGCGTGTTGAATTTGAGGATCTTGGTTTTCCCTTTGTGTATGCTGAGGCCTACTGATGCAGAGACTGCTGCTACACTGGCTGTCTTCATCTGCATCTGTTCGTGTGTACGTGATAGGAGGGCTAGGTCGTCTGCGAAGTCCAAATCGTCTAATTGATTCTGAGCTGTCCATTGTATTCCGCGTTTTCCCTCAGATGTCGAGGTCTTCATAATCCAGTCAACCACCAGAAGAAAGAGGAAGAGAGAGAGTAAACAGCCTTGTCTGACTCCGGTCCTTACTTGGAATGCATCTGTCAGCTGTTCTCCATGCACTACTTTGCACTGTAGTCCGTCGTATGAGTTCCGGATAATATTGACAATCTTCTCAGAAACTCCGTAGTGTCGAAGAAGTTTCCATAACGTCCTCTCATCTACACTGTCAAATGCATTTTCGTAATCAATGAAGTTGATGTACAGTGACGAGTTCCACTCAATTGATTGTTCGACGATGGTCCGTAGTGTTGCAATTTGGTCTGTGCACGACCGATCCTTACGGAATCCAGCTTGTTGATCTCAAAGTTGGGCGTTTACTGAATCTGTAACAGCTTAGGTTGGTTGGTTAAGAGTTGACCTCAAACAATCAAGCATATGCCTGAACAGTATAGTCCAAGTATTTACCCACTTCCTTATTTTGTATAGGTGTTACATTCCCTATTATCTTATACTGAATGTTGAGAGGCTATGTTTGTTTGAATAAATAACCCCACGCTCCGCTGTGACTGCGCGAAAATCGAAATAAAGACCTATTCACTACTTGTCTGGTTTCTTCTATCAATAGCACGTGGGTTACATTAA